AGGAGCCTACAGATTTCCGGGCGAAGTGGGAGACAGAGAGGAGCCTAATGATCTCCGGGTGATGTGAGAATCAGCTATCTCTTACTCACGTCTAAAAAATTCTGGGGTTCAAGGCTCCAAATTCACATTGGGAACCCGAAAGGGGAGGTGGAACCCCAATGCTAACCCTGGTTCTATATCCAGGCCCCCAAAGAGGTTTGGTTCTCTACCAACTTGTCGAGATGCTCAGAGAAAGTTGGATGTTATTGCAACAATGGGGCTAGTCTTTTTAAGTGGGGAGACGGGAAGAACCCCCAAAGCTGACGTTTGCAGATGCTCTCTTCGCCCGTTGTGTATTTTACGCAGCAAGCCCGCATACAGTCCTCTGCTATCAAAATGAGACATTGATGGACACTTCAATGCATCATTACTGTAATTCTTCATGTATCAATTTCCCCCCAAGAGGAAAAAAAATCTTAAACTCCATTCCTCATATCTACCGATAAGGGGTGGTGGTGGAAAATACACCGAATTTTGGAGAGACACAAAACGAGTCTAGCTGAGATCGACCTCAAGGTGCCTCTGAGCATGCAAAGAGTGTTTTCCCCCCTTTTCCCCAGCAAGCAGCTCCAGTCAGAAAGGAGCAACGCGCGATGTTTTTCAGCCAACATTCGCAGCGAGACGGCTTCTAGTCGCCGCCTAACCGCGGTTTTTTTCCCCCCCGAACCCAAAAACATTTGGTCTTTCTTACCTGAGCAGATCCCGCTGAGCAGGCGCGAAAATATGGTGTAGTCATAAGTGTGGACGATGGTTGAAAACCCCAAAAAGATGGCGGAAATGAAAGCTAAGAGGTTTGTTATCACTAGGGTACCCTTCCTGAAAGAAAAATAGACGTACAGGAAGTCCTCGACTTACGACAGTTCGTTTAGTGACCGTTCAAAGTTACAACAGTACTGTTCACTTAACAACTCTGGCAAGAGTGGTCATAACATGAGGCCAAACCCACTTAACAACCGACTTCCTTACCAGCAGGAATTTCGGGCTCCCTTGTGGTTGTAGATACACACTTGACAATTGGTCTTCTTTCTAACTACCCTGTTTCTCCAAAAATAAGACCCAACTGGAAAATAAGCCCTAGCATGATTTTTCAGGATGCTCGTAAAAGAAGCCCTATCCCAAAAATAAGACCCAGTTAAGATCGTCAGCCAGATGGATGCATTTAGTATTGTATTTCCCCCAAAATAAGACCTAACCAGAAAATAAGCCCTAATGGGTCTTTTGGAGCAAAAATTAATATAAGACCCGGTCTTATTTTTGGGGGAACACGGTATGGTTTATTTACTGGGGAACTGGCTCCCCCATAAACTGACTCTCTTTTCGTGGGGGTGGGGGTGGAAAATCAAGAATTGGAAAAAGGGACGAATCTGAATTTTTAAAAGAAGTCATGGTTTATATAGGTTGCCGACACGGCGTTGCAAAGGACGATCCCGGAGCCAAACCAAGATAATCAAGTCACGCACGTCCGAGAGATCAAAAGGATTTCTTTCTGAAATGAAGGATTCCTCCCCCCCCCCTTTTTTTTTAATCCCAGGGACAAGTGGAAGGTCCGTCTCAGAAGCGCAAATGCAAGATTTAATCCGTAAAATAAAAATTAAAAAGCTTGGATCAACGAGGATGGATTTACAGTTATGGTGGGTGGGTGGAACAACTGAAGAGGGCAGATTTATTCCATCTGGTGTCTCGTATTATTATTACCTGCCGCAGGTATCAGCCATGGGGCAAACCATAAGAGATCCAGTGACGCCTCCCAGAGAGTAGATCACATTGGTCAAAGTCAAGAGGAAATTCATAGTATTCTGATTCTCCTTCTTCTTCATCTTCAGAGTGATGTTGTAGTCTTCTTGGATCAGCTGGACAGAAAATGGCACGCTCAGCAGTAGCAAAAATGGGCCGACCCTTTGGATTTCTGGGGACCCTTTCAAAAAGGGAAATGGGGCGGGGGGTGGTGGGATCTGGTACCTGAACCCCACAGGCCGGGGTGAAATCCAGCAGGTTCTGACAGGTTCGGGAGAACCGGGAGCGGAAATGTTGAGTAGTTCGGAGAACCGGCAAATACCTACCTCTGGCTGGCCCCAGAGTGGGGTGGGAATGGACACTTTGCAATATCCTTCCCTCAGGAGTGGGGTGGGAATGGGGATTTTGCAGTATCCTTCCCCCGGAGTGGGGTGGGAATGGGGATTTTACAGTATCCTTCCCCCACAGTGGGGAGGAAATAAGAGTTTTTGTAATATCCTTCCCCCAGAGTGGGGAGGGAATGGGGATTTTGCAGTATCCTTCCCCCGGAGTGGGGAGGGAATGGGGATTTTGCAGTATCCTTCCCCTGGAGGGGGGCGGGAATGGGGATTTTACAGTATCCTTCCCCCAGAGTGGGGAGGGAATGGGGATTTTGTAATATCCTTCCCCCGGAGTGGGGAGGGAATGGAGATTTTACACTATCCTGCCCCCGGAGTGGGGTGGGAATGGGGATTTTGCAGTATCCTTCCCTGGGGGGGGGGAGGGAATGGGGGAATGGGGATTTTACAGTATTTTTCCCCAGAGTGGGGAGGGAATGGGGATTTTGTAATATCCTTCCCCCGGGAGTGGGGAGGGAATGGAGATTTTACACTATCCTGCCCCCGGAGTGGGGTGGGAATGGAGATTTTACACTATCCTGCCCCTGGAGTGGGGAGGGAGTGGGAATTTTGCAGTATCCTTCCCCTGGAGGGGGCAGGAATGGGGATTTTACAGTATCCTTCCCCCAGAGTGGGGAGGGAATGGGGATTTTGTAATATCCTTCCCCCAGAGTGGGGAGGAATGGAGATTTTACACTATCCTGCCCCCGGAGTGGGGTGGGAATGGAGATTTTACACTATCCTGCCCCTGGAGTGGGGAGGGAGTGGGAATTTTGCAGTATCCTTCCCCTTCCACGCCCACCAAGCTACGCCCACCAAGCCACGCCCACAGAACCGGTAGTTTTTAAAAAATGTGAATTCCACCACTGCCCACAGGGCACCACTTACCGATGCGGGATGGTTCACCACCCAGAGATTGTAACCGTATTGGAAAGAGGACCCAAAGGTTAAGATGATTGTCATGGTCATCAGAGGCCTGGTCAGTTCCTGCCAAGAGGGAAAGAGGGAAAGAGAGAGAGAGAGAGAAGGAGGGGGGTCAGAAGCCCAGCGGTCGTGGCCAGGGGGAGCCAGGTTGGGGTGGGTCAAGGCTTCCAAGGGAGGGGAGGTCTTAGCTTCAGCTAAGACAGCAACAGAAAGCGATGGGAGTTGAGCCTTTAGTTTCGTTTTTTCTTTCTTTCTTTCTTGGATTTAGATTTATATTTTTATCAGGGAGAGAATACAGAATACAATACCGAATTACAAGAGTTGGTTGGAAGGGACCTTATAGGTCATCTAGTCCAACCCCCTGCTCACACCATTTCTGACAGAGTGCAGTCTCTTCTTGAAAGGAGGGAGGGAGGGAAGAATAAAATGGAGGAAGGAAGGAAGGAAGGGAGACAAGTAGAGAGGGAGGGAAGGATAAAATGGAGGGAGGGAGGGATAAATGGGGAGAAGTAGAGAGGGAGGGAAGGATAAAATGAAGGAAGGAAGGAAGGAAGGGAGACAAGTAGAGAGGGAGGGAAGGATAAAATGGAGGGAGGGAGGGATAAATGGGGAGAAGTAGAGTGAGGGAAGGATAAAATGGAAGGAAGGAAGGAAGGAATACATGGAGACAAGTAGAGAGGGAGGGATAAAATGGAGGGAGGGAGGCATAAATGGAGAGAAGTAGAGAGGGAGGGAAGGATAAAATGGAAGGGAGGAAGGAAGGAATAAATGGAGACAAGTAGAGAGGGAGGGAAGGATAAAATGGAGGAAGAAAGGAAAGAAGGACGGATGGACGGACGGACAGACGGATAGAAGGAAGGAAGGGAGACAAGTAGAGAGGGAGGGAAGAATAAAATGGAGGGAGGGAAGGATGATGGATGGATGGAAGGAAGGAAGGAAGGAAAAAGGACAAACCACACCACCAATAAAACAGCAAATGTATATAGCATTGCGTTCACGCTTCCAGCTTTCCTTAAGTAATTCTCTTAAATTAAAAATAAAAGTAAAACATACCTTGTGGTTTTCCGTGGATCTGATTCTACTGCTTGGAAGATTACAAGGGATGTTTTTAATTAATTTTTTTTTAAAAAAACAAACTTCTAAATATTTATTTTAACAAGTGACCCATACCCAAACGTTCAAACATGGGAAGCAAAACCTACTACGCATCTCCAACAAAGATTAAACCTTTCAAAGTTTCTAAAGAAACTTTAAAGAGCAGCTGTGGCTAAAATGCAGCTCTTACATATAAATATCATCAGCCACTATCCAATAAATCCCTTTTTTTTGGTCCCTTCTAAAGTCACCGTCTTTTCAATTTTAAGAGGCTCTCTTAAAGGACAGGCATTGAAATCGTCGCGTTTTCCCACTTCAAAGCAGGCGTTTTCCCTAAACAATTATTATTTTTTTCTATTCTATTTTTGCATGCCACAGGTGGCTAGTCCTCATGAGGTAGGTGAGAAGGCACAATCAGGTTGTCCCCTTGCCAAAAATACAGGTAGTCCTCGACTTACCGCAGTTGGCTTATTGACCGTTCCAAGTCGCAACAGCGTTGAAAAATGGGACTTACGACCGTTTTTCAAAGTTACGACCTTTGCAGCATTCCCCAAGGTCACATGATCAAAATCCAGAACGCTTGGCAACTGACATGTACTTATGACAGTTGCAGTGTTCCCGCTCTTTGGCGACCTTCCGACAAGCAACGTCCACGGAAGGGAAGCCAGATTTCGCGCTTAACGGCCGTGTTACTAACCCATCAACCGCCGTGATTCATTTAACGACGACGGCAAGGTAAGGTCGACAAAAAGGGGACAAAATTCACTTCGCAAAGGTCTCCCTTTAGCGACGGAAGCGTTGGGCTCAATGGGGGTCGTAAGGTCGAGGACTATCTGCCTTGGAAACCCGCGTTCGGGATAATGCACGAAGGGGGGCTCGCGACACGCCTCCACGGAACGACTCACCGCCTCGACGCGACGAGAGCAAAAACCCAGCTCTCACCTGATTGAGATACCTTGGGCTCATCTGTTTGGCCTTTTCTGGATCTAGATCCATAGCTTTGGTGGGGGGAACGAGGATTCGAACTCGAGACTCCTTGACAATACAGCTCCCTCTAATTTAAGAGATTAAAACAAACAAAAACAAAAACAGACTTTTTAAACCGGATTATCAACCTGACATCCAGCTCAGGCCTCTGGAAAACTCAGAAGCCAAGCCGGATTTTCCTTTGCCTTTCCCTGATTTCCTTTTTGCCCCTTCCCCAGTTTTTGCGGGTAGACTGCTCCTGGATGGGGAAGCCCCATCTCCCTTAGCAGGGGGGGAAAAAAAGAAAACACAGCTACCAACCGGCCCTTTGGCTGTGGATCGTTGGAAAGATTGTTGGATTCCAAGCCAATCAGGCAGCGAAACTGAGAAGGTTCTAGAAGCAAAACAGTTGGCCGTTAGAAGACACGCCAAGATTCAAGTTCTCTCATTATTATTATTATTATTATTATTATTATTATTATTATTATTATTATCCTGCCAGAATGGAAGGCGTCACCGTGCCAGGAAGTCGGAAATGTGCCAGGGAGCATAAAAAAAACTGCCACCTCGTAAGGAGCCTACCTGGCAGGATTGTTGTCGTGCAGAGCACGACTCCGAAAGCACGTCGCTCCAGATACAAGACGGAAAACTTTTTTTTTTCCTCCCCCCTTTTCTCGCGAGAAACCTATTTCCTGTAGGAGAAGTGGCTTGCCAGTTTCAAACTATGAGGAATATTAGAACGCAGAATGATAGGGGTGGAAGGAACCTTAGAGGTCATCTAGTCCAACCCGCTCCTTGCTCAGGCAGGTTTCGGGGATATTTATGACGGTCGTAGTGTCCCGGGTTTTATGCGATCACCTTCTGACAAGCAAAATCAGGCCCACTTAAAAACAGTGCTAGTCGCTTAAGAGCTGCAGTGATTTACTTAGCAACGGTGGCGAAGAGGGTCGTAAAACGGAGCAAAGTTCACTTAACAAATGTCTCGCTTAGCCAGACGCATTTTTCGGCCCCCATTGAAGGTCGTAAATCCAGGACTCTGTGTCTTCATTTCTAGGCAAGAGTTTTAAAAATAAAAAATATATCTTGGAAAGCTTTTCCCCCTACGGAGAAAACCGGAGTTAACTATATATAATAGTCGTATCGCCAGGTAAACCAAGGATGGCTAACCTTTTTGCCGTCATGTGCCAAAAGCAGGAGGAGCGGGGGCCGGTCACGTACATGCGTGCCCACATCCATAATTCAATGTGCCCTCTCCCTGCTTTTGGCACGCGATGGCACGGCGGGTCCGTAAGACCTGTTTTTCGCCCTCCCCAGGCTCGAGAGGCTTTTTAGGTATCTGGGGAGGGCATAAACAGCCTTCCCCACCCCCCGGAGGCTGGAAACAGCCAGTTTCCAGACTTCCGGTGGGCCCGAAAATCAGCTGGCCAGCCCGTGAATATGCGCTGGAGCTAAGCTAGGGTAACGCTCCCGTGCCCACAGATATGGCCCCGCGTGCCACAGGTGGCACGCGTGCCATAGGTTCTCCGTCACGGCTCTAGGCCAGTTGCCAAGTAGCTAAAGTAACTTGTGAAATGCCAAATGCGGATTCTGACAAGTAGCCTTTCTTGTAACTTAAAATGCGTATTCTCAGCAACCCAATATAAGAGATAATAATGCTAACAGAGCTCTGAGTTATATGCCAGAAAAATGCATTTCTTTCCCAGGGGTCAGCAACCTGCGGCTCTAGAGCCGCAATGTGGCTCTTTCACCCCTCTGCTGCGGCTCCCTGTCACTCAAAATATCACTCACAGCTGCCAATGTGTGACACTTGCCGGCACGCGATTTATTGAGCTTTTCAACCCCCGGTAGGCCAACCATGGATAAATCCAAGAAAAGTTTCAGAAGAAAACAGAACATTTAATTCAACTACATATGCTAGTTTTGTGGCCGCTCAAGAAATAGTCAGGCACGGGAAGGGTTTTGTGGCTCCCGGTGTTTTCTTTTTTGTGGGAAACATGTCCAAATGGCTCTTTGAGTGTTTAAGGTTGCAGACACCTCTGTCTTTCCCCTTCTAAGGTCCGTTGTTCACAGAAGCGTTGAGAAAATCATGAGGTTTGCGTGATATGAAATGATGTTTCTAACACTAGGACGGTCAGTGCAAGCTGTGTAAGAGTATAAGAAGTTTGGAAAAGTTTTTTCTTTTTGGCGCGCACCTGCTTTTCTCTCTGCCTGCTGTTAAGGTGGGAGACTAAAACGTTTTGCTTTCTAGCTAGAAATAAAAGCTGATTATCAGTAGCCTCGTGTCCAGCGTTTCATTGGAATTATCAGATTCTGAGCTGCATTCAAAAACCCTACATTTTCCAAGCCCCCCCACCCAATTCTGCCTTCTGATTCCAAAGTCTAAATCCAAAACTTCACTCCTTTTTCCGTTCCTGCTTGATTTTTCCAACATCTCATTTTTCCCCCCCTCCGAATAAATAAAAGACCACGGGAGAATCACAAAAGGACATACAAAGTGCAAGGTTATTTACTAAAATGTATTATTATTATTATTACTATTTTTTAAAAAATTAATATTTTAAAAGCAAACAAACCCCGGAGGAAGTTTGGGTCAACTCAACCCCAAACAGAAAACAGTAGTTAAAACAAGAAGAAGGAAAGTTCCAGAAAAATTTTGCAAAAATGCCCGGTATGTGTTTTGATGTCTCCAGGATCCTGTTGAGAGATCTGGCGTGGTCCTTCTAAGGGTCAAATGAACAAGGTCTTTCCAAATTGTCCCCTGTGAAAGGTCAAGAGAGAAGATCTGATCCTCCCAAGCCATCAAGGATCATCCCAATTGAAGGAACTAACTTGATCCTCCTGGTGAGGATCCACCTCCATAACTTGACGTCTGGAGTGGGGGTGGGCTGGAAGAGGAGATGGGGGCATCGTCTGCCCCCAAACTAAGAGGAGATCTCATAAGCTCATCTTCCCTTGACGGAAAGGCAGTCCAGAAGGTCCACAGAGAAGGTCCACCAGGTCCACCATTTATGACCGTTGGGTCAGATGGCGAGACAGGATTCTCCTGATCTCTAGGAAACTTCTATCCTTGGTCTCGGGGATCATCTTGGCTATGTATAAAATGGTGAGGATGTTGAATGGCCAGAAGAAGAGGAAGCTGTACGGTTCCAGTTCGGCCTAGGAAGAGAAAGGAAGTCATGGAACGGATCCATCTTTATAGAGTTGTATCTTCTGCCCCCACCGAAAGAGAAGAAGTCCTGCCTTTCCTCCTCCTCCACCCAACAGTTGCTGGAGAGTTTGAACCAGGACTCAGGAGCTTTAACCCCGGAATGATCCAGGAGACCATCCCATCTTCTAGAGAAGGTTCGTGGTGGGACTGAAGAGAGGTCCACTCGTTCAACATCTGGGCCAGGAGCCCTTGTTTTCATTTTCTATCCCAACCTATGCTCCGTTGAAGACAAGGTCTTGGGAGTTGCATGGAAAGGGTGGGGCTAGCCGAAAGAGTGGGTGGGTCTAGAGTGAGAATGGGTGGGGCTATAGGCAAGTAGGCGGAGCTGGGATTCGTGATGGGTGGAGAGGCATCAAGAGCTGGGTGAGGTGGTGGTGGTAGCCAGAATGGGCGGGGTTATGTTAAAGTGGGTGGAGAAGGGATTGGGAATGGGTGGAGCCCAATCAATGAGTGGGTGGGGCTAAGAATGAGGGTGGGTGGGGCCAAGTCAAAGTGGGTGGGGCTAAGAATGAGGATGAGTGGAGCTAAGTCAAACAGGAGGGCTGGCACCCAGAATTGGTGGGGCTTACAATTATGGGTGGGGCTAGGACTGAGGATGGGTGGGGCTAGGTCAAACAGGAGGGCTGGCACCCAGAATGGGTGGGGCTAGGTCAAAGTGGGTGGGGCTATGACCCAAGGATGTGTGGGGCTAGGATTGAGGATGGGTGGGGCTAGGATTGAGGATGGGTGGGGCTAGTTCAAACAGGAGGGCTGGTACCCAGAATGGGTGGGGCTAGGTCAAAGTGGGTGGGGCTATGACCCAAGGATGGGTGGGGTTAGGACGGAGGATGGGTGGGGCTAGGTCAAACAGGAGGGCTGGCACCCAGAAGGCGTGGGACTGGGTCAAAGAGGGTGGGGCTATGGCCAAGGATGGGTGGGGCTAAGTCAAACAGGAGGGATAGGTTAGGGTTAGGCGTCAAATAGTGGGCGGGGTCAGAACCGAATGTGGGCGTGGCTACATGAAACCAGAGAAAGACCCAGAGACGGAGAGGCTCGTTGAAAGCAAGCCAAGAAGAAGATTTTTGTTTAAAAAAAGCACTCACTTCCATGTGGAGATACGTTGCAACAATGAGGAATTTGCATATCCAGTGGATGCTTCCGGCGATCACGAAAGCCGTGGATCGGCACGTCTGCAGGAAATACTCGGCTACCAGCACATTGGGAACCGGATCTGGGGGCAAAGGCAGCACGTTTCAACGACTGATCTTTTTGCCACACCCCTGCAAGGGTTCGGTGCCGAGATACTTACTGGGACCGGTAGCTTGTCCGATAAGGAAGATGGTGTGGAATGAGACACTCAGATACGCCATGGTGGGGATGTTTTTCTGCCAGAGGGGGGGGGGGGGAGAAAAAAAAACCTCACAAAATCAGGACGCGGCTCTCTTTAAAAACTTTCCCTTCTCTAGATCGCTATTTATCGCAGCTGTCCTGGGAGCCGCTAGGCCCGTGATGGCGAACCTATGGCACCCATAACGGTGGGCACATGAGCTCAGCTCCGGTTTACATGCATGTGCCAGCCAGCTGATTTTCGGGCCTTCTGGGCCCCCTGGAAGTCGGCAAACAGGCCGTTTCTGGCCTCCAGAGGGCCTCCAGGAGGAGGGAAGGCTGTTTTTGCCCTCCCCAGGTTCCTAGAAAGGCTCTGGAGCCTGAGGAGAGTGAAAAACGGGCCTACTGGGCTCACATGCCATCGCATGCCAAAAGCAGGGGAAGCGCAGGGAGGGGTCGCGCATAAATGCGTGGGAGCAGGGCACATAGAATTATGGGTGTGGGCACCTGCGCCCCCTCCCCCCCGCTTTTGGCACGTGATGACAAAAAGGTTAGCCATCACTGCGCTAGGGATTTATTTCTGTGGCCAACGCATTTCAATAAACGAAAGCTATTCAGGCATATTTCCCCGGGGAGCATAACCGACAAAACGAGTTGGTTTAGTGACCGTTCAGAGTTACGACGACCCTGAAAAAGAGTGACTTTACGGCCGTTTCTCACACTTGCGACTGTTGCCGCCGCCACCCCCTGGCCGCGCGATCCAAATTCAGACCGTTGGCCATTGGCTCGTATTTATGACGGTGGCAGAGTCCACAGAGTGTTACTAACCTGATGAATGCAACGGTTCATTTAACAACCGCCGGCAAGAACACTGGTGAAAACGGGGTCCAAACTCCCTTAACGAAACGTTTCGCTTAGCGACGTAAATTTCGGGCATCAAACCCAGAGGGGGGGGGGGAAATGTCTCGGCTTTCCAAAAATCTCAAAAAAAATAAAAATAAAAATAAGGCTTTTTAAGAGAATGACCCACCTGAAGTTGTAAAGTCATGGTCAAGAAAATGCTGGCAATTGCGCAGATTCCGAAGCCGGTGAGCAGGAGTATCCTTCGTCCCGAGGTTTCGACGATGCAGATCTAGAGAAATAAATAAATAAATAAATAAATAAATAAATAAATAAATAAATAAATAAATAAATAAATAAATAAATAAATAAATAAATAAATAAATAAATAAATAAATTGCCTGCCTAGGTAGTCCTCGAGTTACGACCAATCGGACTTATGACAGCCTCAGAAAGTTTGCTTCTCAGCCCATCAACCACTCCCAGTTGTCAAAAAAAAAAAAGTTTGTGCACTCCATCTCAAAGTCTTAATTTTGCGTGCTTTGGGGACCACAATTTGTGATATTTTTGGGGTGGGGGGCAGTTTCTGACGAAAAGAACCCCCTTCCCATTGGGGAGAATGGAGTCAGAATCAGGGGTGGGTTCTAATTTTTTTTTTTTACTACCGGTTCCGTGGGCGTGGCTTATTTTGTGGGTGTGGCTTGGGAGGGTAATGTGACTGGGTGGGCGTGGCCAACTTTTTTTTTTTTTTTTTACTTTTAAAAGCATTATTTCTACAACCTTAAGAGGTTGCAGGAAAACATGCTTTTTAGAAGCTTCTGACGATCAGGCAAATAAATCTGCTGGGATCGCCAGAGGCTTTTAAAGGGATTTTTTCCCTTTTTTCCTCGGCTGGAGAGGTTGCAGGAAAAAAATGTTTTCAGAAGCCTCTGAAGATCCCAGCTGAGCCGCGCGATCATCAGAGGCTTTTTAAAAAAAAACTTTTAAAAGCATTTTTTTCAGCCGAAGAGGTTGTAGAAAAAATGCTTTTAAAAGTTTTTTTTTAAAAAGCCTCTGATGAGGTAGGCGGGGTAAGCGAGCAGTGGCGGGTTCGGGGACCGGTTCGGGGGCGTGGCCAGCCAATGTTATTTCCGGTTCTCCGAACTACTAAAAATTTTTACTACCGGGAGCAACCCACCACTGACCATTGTGTGGTTTGCTCAACAACCCCCCCCCGCCCACACACACACAAAAAGAGAAGTCCGGTCACGTGTGCGCCTTAGACTTACGACCGTCGTAACTTACAGCCAAAATTCCCAGTCCCGATTTTGGCCGTACGGTTGCACGAAACAGATGCAGATATAAAAGGGGATGGGAATTTTAAAAAGAAAAAATATAAATGACAAACATTTGCAGATGACCTGGTATTTATCTTAGAAGAACCGTGAGAAACTGGTCCCAAACGAATAAGGGAAACAGAAGGAGACGGAGAAGCGGCAGGGTTGAAAATAAACAAAGAAGAACCTAAAATACTAGTTTTCTGTTTTTCTGTAAAGGTTTTCAGTTAAAGAACTTTACAGAAAAACAGAAAAATGAGCTGGTTAAAGAAAACCCATCTCCGGGTCGCCAGGAAAGTGTAATATCTAGGAATTGATTTAACGGCAAGATTGTGCAACAATGAAAGAAGATAATCGTATAAAATTAATGCAACAAATGAAGCAGGATTTGGAGAAAAGGAAGAATCTGCAATTATCAATAGTAGGAAGAATAGCTACCATAAAAATGAATATATTGGGTTAGGCCGGTGTTGTTATTGGATGCTATTAAAAGTGTCATCACAGGATGTATTATTATTATTATTATTATTTATTGGTTAATCTTTAGTGAGATTCACAGCCTTTGAGGCTGGTTAATAGCTCAGCAACTCGAGTCCTAACCAAGGACCTAGGAACTGTTAAGGTATCGTCGGAGGATGTAAGCTGTTCCGAGTAAGGTGGTTTTTTTGTAGAGTCAAAATGTTCAAGTCCGGCAAATTTAGAATTTCTAAACAGCGGGGTAGCCCTTTGGGTATTGCTCCAAGGGCTCCAATTACAATCGGGACAACACACGATTTCTTTTTCCACAGTCGCTCAACTTCAATTTGTAAGTCCCGGTACTTTGTGATTTTTTCTTGCTGCTTATCTTCAATCCGTGCATCACCAGGTATTGCAATGTCAATGAACCATACTTTTTTCTTTTCAACTATTGTTATGTCAGGTGTGTTGTGGACCAAGTGCCTGTCAGTCTGAATCCTAAAGTCCCACAAGATCTTGAGTTTCTCATTCTCTAAAACTTTCTCAACCTGATGTTCCCAGTGGTTTTTGCTGTACTCAAATCCAAACTTCTGGCACAATTTCCAGTGAATGATTTTAGCAACACGGTCATGGCGTTGTAGGTAGTCAGTTTGTGAAATTTTGCTGCACCCACTGATCAGGTGGTCGACTGTCTCATCTTTCTCATTGCAGAGGCGGCATTTGCTGTTGGTGGTAACATGTTGAATTTTTGCCTTCATACAGTTTGTGGCTAGGGCTTGTTCTTGAGCTGCCAAAATAAAGCTTTCAGTTTCTTTTTTCAGTACTCCTGATCTTAACCAGTTCCAAGTTAGTTTCTGGTCAGCTTTGCCGTCAATACTTTTCAAGTATTGGCCATGCAGAGCTTTGTGTTTCCAATTTTCAGCTCGCTGCTCAATTACTTCTTTCTTATATTCTGCTTTTGTTTTAGTTGTCTTTAAAAGGCCTCCTTTATTTACTTCCTTAATCATTGGTTCTTCAATTTTCTGGATGTAATCATTCAAGCTGCATTTTTCTTCTTCCACAGTCTGCTTTACTTGTAGGAGTCCTCGACCACCCTCTGCTCTTGGTAAATATAATCGGTCAACATCACTTTTAGGGTGCAAGGCATGATTCATTGTCATAAGCTTCCTTGTTTTTCTGTCCAAATTGTCTAACTCCATCTGGGTCCAGTCAATTATTCCTGCAGAGTATCTAATCACAGGTATAGCCCAGGTATTTATGGCTTTTATGATGTTTCCTCCACTCAGTTTGGACATTAATATCTTACGAATTCGTCGAATGTACTTGGCTGAAGTTAATTCCTTGACTTTATTATGCATTAAGTCAGAGGCTTCTAAAATCCCCAAGTACTTGTAGCCTTCTTCTGATTTTACTGCCTTTATCATTTCTTCATTCTCTAGTTCTATTCCATCCTCTTCTATGATCTTGCCTGCTTTGGTTGCTATTGTTGCACATTTGTCAATTCCAAACTGCATACCAATGTCTTGGCTGAATTCTTTTGTGTTTTCAATTAATAAATTCAGTTCAGCTTTTGTTTTACCAAACAGCTTCAAATCATCCATGTACATCAAGTGCGAGATTTTCAGTCCTTTCTTTGCAAGTTCGTATCCACAGTTCATCTTCTTCAAAATGATTGTCAGTGGTAGCATTGAGAGTATAAAAAGTAGGGGTGAAAGGGAATCGCAATTATCGATGGTAGGAAGAATAGCTACTATAAAAATGAATATATTGGGTTAGACTGGTGTTGTTATTGGATGCTATTAAAAGTGTCATCACAGGATGTATTATTATTATTATTATTATTATTATTATTATTATTATTATTATTATTATTATTATTAATTATTATTATTATTATTATTATTATTATTATTATTATTATTATTATGTGTACACAGCAAACGAGATGACCATGCTGGATTTCGTATCCCAAATCACTAGTCGAACACTTCCCAAACGTTTAGGACTGAGTGATGTATCGGCAGATTATGCGAGCAGATCCCAGTAAGGTTAAATAATAATAATAATAATAATAATAATAATAATAATAATAATAATAATAGCAATACCCAAAGGGCTACCCCGCTATTTAGAAATTCTAAATTTGCCGGACTTGAACATTTTGACTCTACAAAAAATCACCTTACTCAGAACAGCTTACGTCCTCCCACGATACCTTAACAGTTCCTAGGTCCTTGGTTAGGACTCGAGCTGCTGAGCTATTAACCAGCCTCAAAGGCTGTGAATCTCACTAAAGATTAAATAATAATAATAATACATTTTGACTCTACAAAAAACCACCTTACTCGGAACAGCTTACATCCTCCGACGATACCTTAACAGTTCCTAGGTCCTTGGTTAGGACTTGAGCTGCTGAGCTATTAACCAGCCTCAAAGGCTGTGAATCTCACTAAAGATTAACCAATAATAATAATAATAATAATAAATTATTTAATCATAATAATTTAATAATAATAATAATAATAATAATAATAATAATAATAATAATAATAATGATGATGATGATGATGCAACTTTCTTGCAAAATTCTCACAGGAACGAAAGATGCTATCCGTGACAGTTAAGAGAAGCCACTTATCATTTTCATCTCTTTCTCCTTAATCTGATTATTCCTCACCCTAGATTGAAAAACGGGGAAGAGAGTCCATGATTGAGTTAGCCCCGTCTCCTCTTCTAGCCGCCGGAGGAAAATTCTTAAAATCTGGACCCGTTAAGAGCTTCGGTGACAAGGTCGTCCCCCCTGTTCCCCCCAGACTCTTACCACTAGTGTTGTGATGACCATCAGGAAGACAGACAAAGCTACGCTGATGTACCACACAATCGTATCGCTGACCCCCGAGGACAAGTAAATCCGCTTTGCGTAATAGTGGGCCTGGAAGGACAACAAAGCCCATATTTCTTCCCGCTCCTTCACTGACACGCAAGACAAAGAACCAGGCTTCTGGTCTCCTGAGCTTGGACCATGTGAGGTGAAGGATCCCAGGTAGAGCGGTCTTCGGATCGATTTTTCTCAACCTTGGCCAATTGAAGAGGTATGGCCTTCAACTCCCAGATTTCCCCCGTGGCTGGCTGGGGAATTCTGGGGAGTTGAGGACCACACCTGTTCAACTTTTGCCAAGGTTGACAAAAATGGACCGGAAGACTTGCTCTGCCACCTCAGATGGTCCTGAGAAACAGGAGATCCATGCTCCAGATAAACAGAGGGGAAGTTCTCCAGAAGGTTTCCATACCGCGTTGATCCCAGAGAGCTGCTGGCCCACCATCAGGACCACGATAGACACCACGTGCCACCGAAGGCCGGGATAATACAGGATTTTCATCACGTCCATATCTTTTTCGGCCTTGTCCGCCAGTCCCTCTTGTCGGAGTTCTTCCATCTCCTGCTCCACGTCGTCCGAACACCTCAGCCTCTTCAAAGCTACAGGAGAAGGAGGAGGGCAGGGATGGGCTTCAAAAATTTTAGCAAGGGGTTCTCTGCCCGGTTGCTGGGTGGGTGTGGCCATGGTGGGTGTGGCTAGTCGGTCTCCTGCACCATGAGGGGGCATTGTTTTTGCCCTCCCTGGGCTCTGGATGCTTTCCTCGAGCCTCCGGGAAGGCAAAAGTGGCCTCCCCAGGCTCTGGAGGCCCTCTGGAGGCTGGAAACGGGCCTGTTTCTGGCTTTTCTGAACTTCTGGTAGGCCCGTTTTTCACCGTCTCTGAGCATCCGCATGTGCCCTGCACTTACCTGCATCCAAAACGGGCCGCATGGGGACTCCTGGGAGGGAAGGGGAGGGGAGGGGTGGGCGGGGCCAGCCAGGAGTGGGATTTGAGGGTTCTCCGAACTGCACAGAATCTTAGCTAGAGGTTCTCCTGAGCCCCTGTGAACCCCCAGCAGCCCACCCCTACTCTGGAGGGTCCCTTCTACCCACCCCATCTCTATCTGTTCATGTGGCCAACATGATTCAACACCAAAGGCGCCCGGAACTGTGTTACCTTCCCACCAAAGGTGGTCCCTATTTTCCTACTTCTGCTTTCGAACTGCTAGGTTGGCAGAAGCTGGGACAAGTCACCGGAGCTCACCCCGTTACGCGGCTCCCAGGGATTCGAACCGCTGAACTGCCGACCTTTCGATCGACAAGCTCAGGCGCCTTAGCCACTGAGCCACCGCGTCCCCTTTTTAAATTTAAGACGTGGACAATCTCTAATCTGAAGCCACCTCCTTCAGCCCTCTGGGATGTGGAAGCCGGACAGTCCCCGACCGCTTGTAAACAGAGGCCAGCGGCTTGGGAAATCAAACCTGGCTTGAGAAGAACTCGACACAATCACTAATCAATAATCAATCGGTCAGTCAATCATTACCCTGCCTGGCTTCTTCTTCCTCCTTCCTCTGAATCAGGAGAAATCGAGGACTTTCGGGGAAAAGCGGGAGGAGAAGTAATTGGAGCACTGCGGGGATGCCAGTGAGGCTTAACAAGATGGGCCAACCTGAAGAAGACATACACCTGCTCAGAATCACTGACCGCGCATCCCCCCCCACCCCGACCAGAATCGTCCCAATTTAAGATATGTTCTCGTCCTCCCTTACCTTCTTCGGTCCCAAGGACATCGCGGAAGCCTATGGCTTCGGCCAACAAACTACCGAAGGTGATGAAAAGGTCAGCCACCGTGCAGAGCGCCCCCCGCAGATTTTGGGGGGCGATCTCGGCCAGGTACATGGGGACCACGCTGAAGGCAATCCCTGTTTCGGGGAGGCAAGAGAAGGAACCCCTCACCGTTTGACGTGGCCGTTGGCTTGGCGGTGGGGCCCTCCGGCCCCCGGCCCCCGCTACGGCTGGGCTGTCACTCACCGGCACAGATTCCCACAAAGAAGCGTGAACAGATCAGAAGTTCGTGGGAACGCCTCGGTTTGGTGGCAATGACCAGGGCAGCCGCGATAATGGCCAAAAAGTTATTGACCAGGAGGGTTTTTTTCCTGGAAAACAAAAGGGACAAGAGAAGAGAAGGGAAGGGAAGAAAAGAGGGAGGGAGGGAGCAAGGAGGGAGGGAGGAATAAATGGAGAGCAGTAGAGAGGGAGGGAAGGATAAAATGGAGGGGGGAAGGAAAGAAGGAAGATAGGAAGGGAAGGAAGAGACTAGGTAGGTAGGTAGGAAGGAAGGAAGGAAGGAAGGAGAGACAAGGCAGATAGGTAGGTAGATAGGAAGAAAGGAAGGAAGGAAGGAAGGAAGGAAGGAGAGACAAGGTAGGTAGGTAGGTAGTTAGGAAGGAAGGAAGGAAGGAAGGAAGGAAGGAAGGAGAGACAAGGCAGATAGGTAGGTAGATAGGAAGAAAGGAAGGAAGGAAGGAAGGAGAGACAAGGTAGGTAGGTAGGTAGATAGGTAGGTAGGTAGGAAGGAAGGAAGGAAGGAAGGAAGGAAGAAGGAAGGAAGGAAGGAGAGACAAGGTAGATAGGAAGGAAGGAAGAAAGGAAGGAAGGAAGGAAGAAAGGAAGGAAGGAGAGATAAGGTAAGTAGGTAGGTAGGAAGGAAGGAAAGAAGGAAAGAAAGAAGGAAGGAAGGAAGGAAGGAAGGAGAGAGATGGAGGAAGGAAGGAAGATAGCTAGATAGGAAGGAAGGATAAAAGGGAGGAAGAAGAGACATGAGGGAGGGAGGGAGTACCTGCCAATGCTGTCCACCAGAGGTCCAGCTATGAGAGCTCCCAAAAACCCCCCAAATGGGAAAAAGGCGACGGTGAGACCCCACTGGAACCTCAGCAAGCCTTCATCAATGCTGATCATGTTCCTGAACCGATACGTCTCATTGAAAAAGTTTTGGATGTACTAAGAGGAGAAGCAGAGCGACACCAGTTGAGGGGGGGGGGGTTCCTTATATTATATTATATTATATTATATTATATTATATTATATTATATTATATTATATTATATTATATTATATTATATTATATTATATTATAATATATATATATTATATTATATATTATCATATATTATATTGTACTATATTCTATTATCATATATTCTATTCTATTCTATTCTATTCTATTCTATTCAACTCTACTCTACTCAATTCTATTCAACTCAACTCAACTCAACTCTACTCTACTCTACTCTACTCTACTCTACTCTATTCAACTCTACTCTACTCTACTCTACTCTACTCTACCCTACCCTACCCTACCCTACCCTACCCTACCCTACCCTACCCTACCCTACCCTACTCTATTCTATTCTATTCTATTCTATTCTATTCTATTCTATTCTATTCAACTCTACTCTACCCTACCCTACCCTACCCTACCCTACCCTACCCTACCCTACCCTACCCTATTCTATTCTATTCTATTCTATTCTATTCTATTCTATTCTATTCTATTCTATTTCTATTCTATTTCCTCTCTGGGACAAGAGGCGGGGTCTTACCTTGGCTGGGTAGAAGATGACAAAGGCGTTGTAACCGTACTGGACTGAGGAGCCAAAGGCAGATATTAGGGTCACCAGGACGAGGGGCCGGGTGACCATCTGGGGAGGGAAGGAAGGAAGGGCACAGGGGGGGATGGAGGTCAGCTTTTGAGACTTGTGGCCTTCCATCCCAGGTGAGGCCTGCTGGTCTCCCTTTCCAGGTTGGACGCTACTCACCATTCTCCGAGGACCAGAAGGAAAAGATCGACGATAAAACGTAGGAGGGGGAGGAGGAGGAGGAGGAGGAGGAGGAGGAGGAGGAGGAGGAGGAGGAAGGGAGGAAGAGGAGGAGGAGGAGGAGGAAGGAGAAACGGTCCAAGAGGAGGACCAGGAGGAAGACCAGGTTGAGGAGGAGGAGGAGGAGGAGGACATGGAGAGGAAAACGGAGGAGGAGGAGGAGATGGAGAAGGAGAAATGGAGGAGGAGGAGGAGGAGGCAGCAATGGAAGATGGCGGAGGAGGAGCCGGAAGAGAAAATGGAGGACGAGAAGGAGAAGCTGGAGAAGGAGAGAGACGCATCAATGAAAGAGAAGTGAACAAAAAAACAACAAAAATTATAGAAAAGACCTTGAGGGAGGGATCAAGGAAACGTGGGAAAGGGAAGGCGGGGCAGGGTCAACCACACTTGGTGCCATCTTCCAAAGTCTGGAGAAGACCCAACAGAAAAACCCAGAGCAGCTCCACTCTTGATTTACAAAGATTCTTCATCGCTGCGGTCCTCAGCCGCGAAAACCCTCGCCTTGGGTTTACGGGACCCCCATTTAACCACCCCCTTTTCTTTCGGTACCCCAGAAGCCCCCTGGGGGAGACCACCCCCCTTCCCCCCCAAAAAAACCCTCCAGGCTTACCCGTCCCGAAACAGCAGTAGGGACATCTGTCACTGGTGGATCCATCTCTCTCTAAAATCAAAACTACAGATCCAAAAAAAATAAAAATTAAGGGTGGGGAGACCCCCCCCCCAAAAAAAAATTGGTTAAACTTTCAAACTCCTCTCTGTGAACTCCCTCCCCAAATTGCAGTCCCCAAATCGGGTGATTTTTTGGGGGGATGGGGATGGGACTGCAATTTCCAGCATCCCCAATCAGCCACTACAAAGTCCAGGAGTGTCCAGTAATTTCCAGTAACGGACATTCCAAGTGCCAGATTAATACGGAAGGCTGTTTGCCCCCCTAAAGGGGTCCCGGATTTGGATCCCAACTGCCGCGTTCGTCGCCCACATCCCACCCCACCTGATGCTCAGGTGGGACCAGGTGGCACCAGCCCCCATGTCTTCCCCAGATGCTTCTGGCCACGATTTAAAAAAAAAAAAAGTACTAGGTTGATGACCTTAAATTGTAAATTGTAAATTTTATGGATTTGGGGTTTTTTAAATTGGGAAGCTAATGATTTAATTCTTTTTTTTTAATTATCTTAACTTTTGTATTTGTATGTTTTTTTTTAATTTTGGCTGTTCACCGCCCTGAGTCCCCTCTGGGAGAAGGGCGGTATACAAAATAAATAAATAAATAAATAAATAAATAAATAAATAAATAAATAAGTAAACAAACAAACAAACAAACAAACAAACAAACAAACAAACAAACAAATAAATAAATAAATAAATAAATAAATAAGCTTGGGTTTTGTTTGTTTGTTTACCTGGCTCTCCCCTCTGCCTCAAAACCAGGACAGAGGAAGGGGGCTACACTGAGAAAGAAACCAGGATCACCCGATTTAGCTGCGGGGATGTGATGGAAACCGAGTTTAAAGATCGTTAAACTTGGGTTTCAATGGGCCCTTTCAAAGCTACCTAGGAAGGCGGCGGAGACCTATAAAACGCTGCCATCTCGTGGCCATTTTCGGGGTTGCAGCCACCCCCCCATCCAAGGATTTCACTTATTATTCACGTTATTTTCCTCGCTATTCACGTTACTATTGATATTAATATTTCAACAAGAAGCCCCCGTGCTGAACAACAGGGTCAGACGCGGGAAACCAACATTAAACCACGTCAAACTGAGTTAAAACGGGCTGTTCAAAATTAAAGATTGCAACGATAGGAAACACTGCCATCCCGTGGCCATGGATGGAGTTGCAGCCACCAAAGGATTTATTCTTTTTCTCAAGGGGTTCGCTTATTATTCATGTTATTTCCTCAGTATCCAATAATATTATTGATATTAATATTTCAACACTTATTATTCACTTATTTCACTTATTATTCACGTTATTTCCTCGGTATCCAATATTATTAATATTAATGTTTCCTCAGTATCCAATAATATTATTGATATGAATATTTCAACACTTATTATTCACTTATTTCACTTATTATTCACGTTATTTCCTCGGTATCCAATATTATTAATATTAATGTTTCCTCAGTATCCAATAATATTATTGATATGAATATTTCAACACTTATTATTCACTTATTTCACTTATTATTCACATTATTTCCTCAGTATCCAATATTATTGATATTAATATTTTAAATAGGCTGTACACCGCCCTGAGTCCTTCAGGAGAAGGGCGGTATAGAAATAAAATTATACTTATACTTATTTCACTTATTATTCACGTTATTTCCTCAGTATCCAATAATATTATTGATATTAATATTTCCTCAGTATCCAATAATATTATTGATATTAATATTTCAACACTTATTATTCACTTATTTCACTTATTATTCACGTTATTTCCTCAGTGTCCAATATTATTGATATTTATATTTCAACACTTATTATTCACTTATTTCATCAGTATCCAATATTATTGATATTAATATTTCCTCAGTATCCAATAATATTATTGATATTAATATTTCCTCAGTATCCAATATTATTGATATTAATATTTCAACACTTATTATTCACTTATTTCACTTATTATTCACGTTATTTCCTCAGTATCCAATATTATTGATATTAATATTTCCTCAGTATCCAATAATATTATTGATATTAATATTTCCTCAGTATCCAATAATATTATTGATGTTAATATTTCAACAAGAAGCCCCTGTGCTGAACAACACAAACAGACATGGGAAACCAAAATTAAACCACATCAAACTGAGTTAAAACGAGCTGTTCAAAATTAAAGATTGCAATGATAGAAAACCCTGCCATCCCGTGGCCATCGGTGGAGTTACAGCCATCAAAGTATTTATTCTTCTTTTCTGTCATCTGATTATTATTCACGTTATTTTCACAAAAATTAATGTTATTATTAATACTGATATTGCGAACTAAAATATCTTACAATGGGCTGTTTAAAATAACATAGCAGACAGTAGTGACATAAAATACTGCCATCTCGTGGCCATCTGCGGAGTTTGCAGCATCAAAGGATTTATCCTTTTTCTCACGGACCCAATTATTATTCACATTATTTTGATCATTATGAACGTTATTAGTAATATCCATATCTCAATAAAGTGATCCCATGCTGGCGAAGAAGTATGAATGTATAATACACTGTCCCCGTGTGGCCTTTTTGAAGGCATACAATTATTAATTAAAATACATTTCAACAACTTGTATGCTGTGCTTAATGTTAATATTACAATAAATATTAACATTAATAACTTTAACCTTACAGTAACTTTGAATGGTCACTAAATGAACTGTTGTAAGTCGAGGACTACCTGTAGATGATCAGTGGCTTTCCTCAGGAGTGGACTTCAAAAATTTTAGCAAGGGGTTCTCTGCCCGGTTGCCAGGTGGGCGTGGCTATGGTGGGCGTGGCCTAGTCGGGGTAGGGTAGTGGTGTTTTTGCCCTCCCCGGGCTCTAGAGGCTTTCCTTGAGCCTCCGGGATGGCGAAAACAGCCTCCCCAGGCTCCAGAGGCCCTCTGGAGGTCGGAAATGAGCCCGTTTCCAGCCTTCCTAAACTTCCAGTAGGCCCGTTTTCCCCCTCCCTGAGCCTCCGCATATGCCCTGCGCTTACCTGCATCCAAAATGGGCCATGTGGGGACTCCTGGGAGGGGAGGGGCAGAGTGGGCAGGGCCAGCCATGAGTGGGATTTGGGAGTTCTCCAAACTGCCCAGAATCTTAGCTAGAGGTTCTCCCGAACCCCTACGAACCTCCAGCAGCTCAACCCTGGCTTTCCTCCTAGCTGGTCACAATGATAAGTTCCTCGTTTGTTTGTTTGTTCCTTGCATGCTGTTCTATTTAGGTCCTCCATATTACTCCTGACTTACGTGTGTTGTTTCGAGAACTTTTTTTTTTTTAAGTGTTTCCTTGCCCAGCAATATTCTCCACAACTTTTGTGACTCTCACTTCTAAAAAAATTAATTTAAAAAAAAAAAAGCTGAAAGGAAGGGCAACGCAACAGAATATGGTCCCAGTATCTTTATTGCTAGCAGTCCTGAGGCTTCCAAAGTGAGCCTTGTAAACAAAGTGAAATTAAGGGACGTTTGCACAAATAAGGTGTGGCTCTTCTCCCGGCCACGCCCCTCCCTGGGAGCCATTTTGTGAAAGTGCCCGAGGCACATCGAGCAGTGTCCCGATGCGCAGGACTGATCGTCCACAGAGATCTATTTGAGTTCGGGCGGGTAATCGCAGAAAAATCTGCAGAAGGAAGAAGCGTACAATATATAGTGCCAAATTCTTGGTTTGCGTATGCTGGTGGAACGGAAGAGCTGAGATCCAGGGGAAAAAAAAGAGATCTACAAGTAATTTCTCCACACACACACACCCCTCAAAAAAATAAACTAACAGCGGACGACACACACGGAAAAGCCGCAACAAAGCATCCCGCGGGCCGCTGTTTGTCAACCAGCCATCGTTTCTTTTCAATCGATTCCGCTGCGTTCTTTGGTTTCAAACTTCTCCTCTTTTGGCAAATTGGATCTCCACAAACGTTTTGCCCCTAGTTTCGGGGAGCATCTTGAAAAGATAGATAAAGGTGGCCACGCAGAAGGGCCAGTAGAGTAGCAGAGAGTAAGGGCCCAGGAGTAACTAGGAAGGGAGCAAAATGACACAAGAGATTTTTTTTTAACTCGACAAGATTTCAAAACTCGCTTCCCGCTCAACGGTGGGTTTCACATGATGTTACTACCGCTTCGCCCCGCGCACACAAGCTCGCTTCGTGCCTGGTTCGTGCGCCTGCCTTCCGTGCATACGCCTATCTTCAAAACCATGCCTAAATAGGATGGCATAGAGCCAGGGCGGCTACCCACAATTTCCACTCCCGGTTCGAGCGAATCGGCTGAATACCACCTCTATTCCCATTGTCCGGGCTGAAATTCATCTCCTGCTCGCATCAATATTGTTTTTTTAACTCGGCTCAATAGCAAATCCACCCGTTGAACGAATCTGCTCGGGTTGATCCCATCCGAGGGTGTCCCTCACTTCTTTTTTTTTCCCCTCTACAATTCCCAGCTCATAACCTCCCTCTGGGGTAAACCTGGTTTGTATCTAAGCCCTCAAATCGGTGCCGTCCGCCCGCAACCCAGAATCGCGGACTCTGAAAGCCCCACGGGAGATTTCGGACAGCGGAAGTTCCCAAAGGCCGTCCGAGGATCTTGTAAAGATGTAACCACCCCACCCCCACTCCACCCACTCTGGTTCGTATGAGGACTCACCTCCAGCTGGATCAGGATCATCCCAGAGACGAAGCGAACAAACCACAGGGCGGAGTATCCTATGGTAAAAGCCGAGGCACGGGTCGACTGCAGGAAAAGCTCTCCCAGAATGACCAAACGGATCGGACCTGGGGAAGGAAGGAAGGAAAAGGAAGGACTTGACCAGGACGGGATAAAGTCTCCTACCTTCAGCCTTCAAGGGGTTAGACTAAAAGACCTCCCAGGTCCCTTCCATCTTGAAATCGCTTCCCCATTGCAGACCGGGCCTTGTCCATTGGCTGGTTTTGCATGTCACTGCGTTTCGGTATTTACCAGACGAGCTCATATTTTTGGACATTCAGACTTTCTGTAGCTTGCCAAGTATCTTATCTCTGATCCACTACGCATGTCCGCATTCCTTTCTTTCTACTTCACACTTTCTTTGTTCTCCTGCCAGGAGAGGTCCGGCCCCAGAGAGGTGGCCGGCTGGAACGTTGCCAAAATGTAACTAATTTAGATTAGTAAGATGTTTTATTTTCTTTATAACAAATAAATGAGTTTTTCTTAGAAAAAATATCTTCGGGGTTTATTTTCTTAATGTATACTTGCAAGGAAAAGTCTCGATCCACGTCTCTAAATCAAGGTGCGATTACCCAAAAGCAGAATGGGATTAATTAGCACCCCGACATTGCAGACCTCACGGCTGCCTGGGATTTCTAGCAAAGGTTCGGCGTGGTGAAGTCTGTTCGCCTACCTGGTCCTAGCATATGTCCGATTAAAAAGATAATAATGAAAACCAGGCTTAGGAAAGACAATTCGTAGCTTTCTTCCTGTGGAAAGAAAGCGAGAAGGGGAGCGAGGTAGTTTTGGGAAGGAGACCTCTTCTTCCTCCGCCGGCACCCAGCTTTCTCGAAGCTTCAGGTCGGCTCCCACCCACCGTGCCCTCCCAGCAAGGGTAAGATTGGGGTGGGTGGGGGTGGGCGGGAGGGGGCTCGGGAAGAAGCGCAAAGCGGGGAGTTCCCTGCAGGAAGCAGTCAAACCTGGAATTCCAGCGTGAAGGTTAGAAGGATGCAGGTCATGCTACAGATCATAAAACCCATGATTAGAGGAACGCGGCGGCCCCACATTTCAACCAAGTTGATCTAGGGGGGAAACAAAATCAAGGGGACAGAGGTCTGGTGGGATCTCAAGGGCAAGGCAATGGGGATCAGAGCAGGGGTGGGTTTCCATTTTTTTTTTACTACCAGTTCTGTGGGTGTGGCTTGGTGGGCGTGGCATGGCTTGGTGGGCGTGGCTTGGTGGGCATGGCAGGGGAAGGATACTGTAAATTCTCCCTTCCCTCCCCACTCCAGGGGGAAAGATACTGCAAAATCTCCATTCCCAACCCACTCCAGGGGAAGGATACTGCAAAATCTCCATTCCCAACCCACTCCAGGGGAAAGATACTGCAAAATCTCCCTTCCCTCCCCACTCCAGGGGAAGGATACTGTAAAATCTCCCTTCCCTCCCCACTCCAAGATACTGCAAAATTCCCATTCCCTCCCCACTCCAGGGAGAAGGATACTGCAAAATCCCCATTTCCTCCTGATCAGGTGGGACTTGGGAGGCAGAGAATAAATGGGGACGAGGCCGGTCAGAATTATATATATATTGCACTTTTGCCTTTCACCTCCAATCCAGGAGCCCTCAAGCAGTCGCATTCACGAGAAACCATTTTATACCAAATTTATATTTCGCTGATAAAGTGTCCCTTTATTTCTTGGATTTTGTCCAGAATGGTACAAAAGGATCCCTCGGCATGGCGGGAGCGTGGGGGTGGGACTAGGAGACCTCCAAGGTCCCTTCCAATTTTGTTTTTCTGTTACGGTTGTCTGTGCCAAACAGAGCCACTCCTCCGAATAAACCCTTATCTCCTGTTCTTTAGACTCGTTCCGGAGAACCAAAATGTTTGGATTTATTTTATTTTTAATGCCGGGGTGGGTGGGAAATGACACACATTTTGCCTTGAGTTTTTGCCGTAAAATCAGCTGGAAAAAGCGAACAGCTTACTGTGACGACAACGGTAATGATGATGATGAAATGGATGCTTGTAGAAATGACGTCAGCGATAGGCCTGGATATGCCCGTGATCCTGTAGACTTTCTCGATGTAAAAGAACATCTGTGTCCAGATGAAAAAGAGAAGTTGTGATGAAGATGACACTGGGAAACAAAAAATTTTTTGGCGGGGGGGGCAGGGAAAAGAGAAAGAAAGAGATTTGGGGTTTCTATCCGCTGCCCTTAAACGAGAAAGGAAGTCGACAAAGTGAGGAGATGACATCATTTCCGCGTGAAACAAACCCTGGGATCCGTATCGTAGTTGGTTTGGGGGTCCCACCCACCCCCCCAGTAAGGATTTGGGATGTTTTTTCCCACTACCTCAGGGGTCTGCAACCTTAAACACTCAAAGAGCCATTTGGACCTGTTTCCCACAGAAAAGAAAACACCGGGAGCCACAAAACCCTTCCATTGCCTGACTATTTCTTAAGCGGCCACAAAACTAGCATATGTAGTCGAATTAAACTTCTGTTTTCTTCTGAAACTTTTCTTTTCCTGGATTTATCCATGGTTGGCCTAACCGGGGGTCGAAAAGCTCAATAAATCGCGTGCTGGCAAGTGTCGCACATTGGCGGTTGTGAGTGATATTTTGAGGGATAGGGAGCCTCAGCAGAGGGGTGAAAGAGCCACATGCGGCTCCAGAGCCGCAGGTTGCTGACCCCTGCCCTACCCCATTGATGCCAGAAAGCTGACTTCCGGCCATCAACACGATGATGGTGACTATAGGCCAGCGGAATTTCTGAATACGTAAAAATTTCCTCAGATTCATCTTTTTCTCGTTGGCCATGACTTCGTAAAAATCTTCTTCCTGGAGTTCCCGGATCTCATTACCCACGTCCTCGTGAGTCCTCAAGCTTCTTAAAACTGGTGGGAAAGAGGGAAGACCATGAAGAAGGGCGCAGAGAGAAAGAGCAAATTTGCATCGTATAAAAACGGGGAAAGGGTATCAGCTCTTTGCGATCCAGCCGGGAGTTCACATTTGCGATCCAGCCAGGATCCAGAGTCTCTTTACCTTCTCTTGCTTTGGTTTCGTTTTTCTTCTGGATTAAAATGAAGCGAGGACTTTCCGGACAGAACAGGAGGAGCAAAATGCAAACGGTAGCAACCATACCTACTACAATAGCCATTAACGGGAAACCTGTGAAGGAAGGGGGAGAGAATTTTGGATGGGCAAGTTCAAGCGCTGGGAAATCAGGAAATTCAGGCGGGTTTATTGCACGCTTAAGCTCTCTACAAGAATCTGACCAACTAACAGTCAAGGGAAATGTGCAGGCGATAAGGGAGCTATTCAAGGTGGGCTGGATCAGTGGCGGTAATCAGCCGGTTTTATCAAACCGGTAGTGGCAGCTGTGAGAGGCTCCGTGCAACTGCCCGGATGTCATCACGTCCTGTTTTTGATACTCTGCCCATGCGTGGAAGGCCTTGTGCATGCATGGAGATGCCACGCACTTACATTTGTGAACCAGTAGTGAAGGTAAGTGAATGCCACTCCTGAGCTGGATTTAGATCTTTTGTGGGCGTGCAGGGACTCGTGTCTTATGACGCATTTGATCCCTCCCTCGGGCTCAGCCTGGTCATCGTCTACATTCTGCTGTTTTTGAGAATCTATGCCTGATGTTCTTGGTTGGTTTTTTTTTTTTTCTTCCTCTTTCTGCCCCTCTGCCTTTCCTTTTATGACATGCTGCTTAGGCAGAAGGGTGCTCGTAAGCCAGGATTTGCAGGCTGCTGCAAGGGAGTTATTCACAAAATTTGTCGCAATGACGATTCCGTCCACGCACGTACCTTCTCTGTTCCCCAAAATCTTCGGAAGTCCTAGCATATGGCATAACAATGCGCCAAGGCTGAAGAAGAGGGCCGAGGTTGTAGTCATCGACCCTCTTATGGGGGTGGGAGAGACCTCTAAGAGGTACAGCGGAACACAGCAGGAGAAGATCCCTAAGTCGAACAAGGAAATTGAACAGTGATGAGTAGTCTTGTTGTGGCCTGTCGGCCGCTGGGCCCTCCTACAGCCGAATCCAAGGAGTAGGAGGAGTAGGAGTGGGAGTCAGGGTCAGCACCTGAGAGCTCCGAGGGGGAAGAGGGAATGGAACTGGCAGAGAGACAGACAGAGGCGGAGCCTGGGCCGTCTGTCAGCCCTCAGAGGGAGAGTCAACAGCCCCCAGGTCTGGAGGTGGCTGATGAGGAAGAGGAGGAACAGCTGGGTCCTGTGCCTGATGCACGGATGCACAGAAGGCAGAGGAGAGGAGAGCAGTGGAAATCAATGGGCCGGTCTTTGGAACGGAAGAGCTACCGCTGTTAGCAAAGCCCCACCCTAACTCTCGGGATAAAAGGCAGGGGGCGGAGATGAATAGATGTGGCAGACAACTATTCATCTCCCGGCCGGACAGACTTGTTAACCTGCGGTGAGAGAGAACCTTTTTTGCCGGGGCTGCTGGCGCGTCTCATAAAGGAATCATTGATTTAACTACAGAGAGATTGTTGTGTTCGGGGAGCTGGGTCAGAACAGGTCTGCTTGATCTACTATTACAGTGATGGCTAACCTTTTTGCCGTCGCGTGCCAAAAGCAGGGGTCACACGGGGGTCGTGCACCCATAATTCAATGTGCCCTGCCCCCCCATGCATGCATGTGCGACCCCCTCCCCTGTACTCCCCCTACTTTTGGCACGTGATGGCCCGGTAGGCCTGTTTTTCACCCTCCCCAGGCTTCAGAGGCTTTTTTGGAGTCTGGGGAGGGTTAAAAACAGCCTTCCCTATCCTTCTCGAAGGCCCTCCGGAGGCTGGAAACAGCCCATTTTCCGACTTCCGCGAGGCCCAGAACGCCCCAAAATCAGCTGGCCGGCGCACCCATGCACGCTGGAGCTGAGCTAGGACAACGTTCCCATGTCCACGGATATGGCTTTACGTGCCACCTGTGGCACGCGTGCCGTAGGTTCGCCGTCACGGTACTATTTGCTACGCTGCTGAAGAGCCGGATCTCGAAGAAAAGCAGCCGGTCTCTTCAGCACCCACAAATGGTCAAATCAACAAACCAATCCCGGAGACCGATTCCCAGAGGAAGGTCGTCCCCAAACGTCTCGGCGGTCAACTCACCTGAAGACATCCCAATGATAAAATTGGCGAACAGGGTGAAATTGAAAAGATGGACGCTATTGGAAAGGCAGAGAAAAACTGAGGCGAAGAAGGCCAAGGTGTTATTAAACAGCAGGAGACATTTTCTGCAAAAGGAAAAAAGGGAGGGGGGAGGAAGAGGCAGGTGCGAAAAGGTATTGGCAACCTCATTTAATGGACAAATACAGGTAGCCTTCGACGTTCGTTTACTGACCGTTCGAAGTTACAATGGCACTGAAAAAAAAATGACATGTTTTTCACATTCGGGGCCCTTGCGGCCTCCTCCCGGTCACGTGATCAAAATTCAGACGCTCGGCTCATATTTATGACGGTTGCAAATATGACAGGAGTCACGTGATCCCCTTTTGTGACCTTCCAACGAGCAAAGTCAGTGGGGAAGCCGGATTCACTTAACGATGGGGGTGACCGATTTTAACAACGGCAGTGATTCACTTAAGAACTGTAGCAAGAGAGGTCGTAAAATGGGACAAAACTCAATTATTTCATTTAACAAAGTCAATGGAGGGGGGGGAAAATCAGATTCACTTCACCGCCATTGTGGCACGAAAGATTGTAAAATGGAACAAAATTCACTTAACAACCGTCTCGCTTAGCCACAGAAATTTGGGGCTAAATTGTGGGCATAAACTGAGGACTACCCGTACAGTATAGGGTGACGCCTGGAAAAGAGACCACCAGGAGATCCCTGGGTAACATTTGCTTCGCTCTATGGCAGGGATGAAATCTACTTACCTCCCCTACCGGTTCGGAAGTGCGCGCGCTGACCCTCCGCACATGCGCAAAACCTTCTGCGCATGAGCAGAGGGTAAAAAAACAGGATAAAACCAGGAAGTAACGATGACTGGGTGGGTGGGTGGAGCCTCGAGCTGCCATCGCTACTGGTTCTCTGAACCACTGGCTGTCATTGCTACCAGTTCGGACGAACTGGGCCGAACAGGGAGCATTTCAACCTTGCTCTATGGTATGGAGAAATTGTACACGACCCCTCCTTCCCCGAATCGTTTTGCCACTTCCGTTACCTGCCGTATCTGTCCACCAGGTTTGCGAACAGCACAATGCCAGTCACCCCTCCTATCGGGAAGAATATGACCACGGGCGATAAGATGAACCAGAAATTTTTCAAGCTCTTCGCTTCCTCCGTTGTCAAGTTGGAGACAAGGAGCTTAGGGGAGAAAAATGGAAAAAAAATGAGCAAACTGAGGAAGCAAAGAAGAGATTTCCCATTTTTGGATCAGCCAGAAATTAAATTTAAGACATGGGCAGAGGTGGTATTTAGCTGGTTCGGACAAATTTGGGCGAACTGGTACCGGAAATCACGGGTGAGCCCGCCTCGGCTCTATGTTGTCCTATTTAGGCATGTTTTTGAGGCTGGGCACAGGCAGTGTTGTGGCCCGTCAGCGGCCTGTGCAGCTGATCAACTCTTGCTCCTTTCTTGTCAGTTTTCCTGCAAATTGCTTCTGGGCATTCTGCCAACCACAGTAAGATTACGGTTATCTGAAATACTGTGTTTCCGAATTGAGTTATTATTCTTTGGATTCTTGTCAGCTGTTAATGAAGTTAAATTAACAGCCCTTGTTCAGAAAAGACTGATTTAAACTGTACTGTATGCGTGGAGGTGGCACGTGTCAGTGAAGCGAGAGTGGGCGTACACGTACTCATATTTTCAGCGCTGGCCAAACCGGTAGGTAAATTATCTCTGGACATGGGGGTGAATATCAATAAGGAGTCACATTCTCCTTCGCAAAACAACCAGCTGAAAAGATCCGCCAATGCCCGGGAATAGAAGAATGAATGAAAAAAAGGAAGAGAGGACAAACTTGATTGTTTTCCTCAGAAAAAGAAAAGAAAAGAATACAACCAGTTTCGTTTCCTAGCTGGAAACCGATCTTGGACTTTATGCTCGAGGCAAAAAAAATAAATAAAAAATGAAAACTTTTGAGTGGTAAATAGAAATGACAGACTAGAGCACTACAAAAGCAAAGTACGTTAAGTTGATACGACATGCTGTAAAATTACCATTAATGTTATGTAATGTTCAATATGTTACGTTTTGACATGTTTTGTTTTTATATGTGTGTGACTGGTTTTTTGTGTTGTTTTTTAAAGACAAACTGTTTAATAATTTTTTTTTTTTTAAAGAAAACTTTGGGTTTTGCTGATTAAACTAGTTTTATTCACTTTAGAACCGAATGGGATAGGACAGGATAGGACAGGACAGGACAGGACAAACAGAACAGAACAGAACAGAACAGAACAGAACAGAACAGAACAGAACAGAATAAAAAACTTTATTGCCACTTTAAATGTACACTGATCAGCATACATTAAAATGAAATTTCATTGCGTTCACCTCTCAAAAGATAACTATTATGCATATACTCACATACACACACATTTTTTTGACAATGTACTTAAGTTGGGGCCATAAAATATTGAGGCTGTGGTTCTATTTTGTATTTGATGGTACCCCCCACGGCCGGCCCTCTTATTCCTCCTTTTTTCTTTTCCTACCTTCCTATCACTTAGATTTTTTTTTCCTTTGCATGTTATACGCTTGATGAAAAATGGCAAAACCTCAGCTGGCGTGCCACGCTACCTGGGCTCACCCAAAACATTCGAACAGGGTTAAGAGGGGGACCTCAGGTCAGGGGTTTATAATCGGGGCTCCCCATGCCAGACAAACCCTGGTTCACTTGGCGAGACTTACCGAAGCTGGGTGATGCACCAGCAAGACAGAGTAGCCATACTGAAAATGTCCGAGATACGAAACCAATATCGAAATAATCAACGTCCTGCTCAGCTTCAACAGAAGGAAAAGAAACAATGGTTACTGCAATGGTGTAAGCCACGTTTCTTCTTTTTAAAAAGGTAACGTGGTTTCTATATCAGGTCTGGCTTGTGGGCTTCACGGACGCGCCAAGGTTGCTGCCATAAAAAATATATTCTGGACAGGGGTGAAATTCACTTACCTTCCCTACCGGTTTGCAAATGTACACATGCGCAAAGCTTTTTGTGTGTGCGCAGAGGCTGAAAATCATTGCAAAAATGGGACATCATGATATCCGCACCGGTGGGCGGGGCTTCGCGCAGTTGGCCCTACTGTATCGCGCGATTCGGTAGGAACCGGTTGAATTTCACCCCTGATTCTGGAGTAACGGAAAATCTCCTTTAGAAATACTTTTTAATTATGTCCTTTCGGGGTGAGTCCTGTTCTCCGCCCTGCCTTGTGCTGAAGGCTAAAATAATACCGTGTTTCCCCGAAAATAAGACCCTGTCTTATATTTTTTTGAACCCTGAAATAAGTGCTTGGCCTCATTTTCAGGGGAGGTCTTATTATTTTAGGGTGCGTGGAACAAGACGGGGCACCTCTTGCCGTCTTACCTGATTTCCACCTCTGTCTCCCTAACCTTAACCAGACGAAATGGTGCTTAAATGTTTTCGGGGGGGGGTTTTTTTTGGGGGGGGGTGTTATTTTTGGGGAGGGCTCATTTTAGTGCATGCTAAAAGGGGAGGTTTTATTTTCAGGGAAACAGTAACTGATAAAGAGAACAATCATCTTGGTCTCATTTTGTCCGATACGCCAAACTCACATAATTTCGAATTGACGGTTTTGAGTCCTTTTTCACAACTGTCCTTCTGGAGAAAGGAACCCTGATTGAGCTAAAAAAAGAGGAAACAAGCAAAAAAATAATAATCTGTCCCCTCGTTCGTTCTTCCACCATATTTGCGAGCGTTTCTGTTCCCCCGAAACCAGCCAGGGAGTTTCAGCAACCTGTGCTCCCTGGGTGGCTCCTGTTCAAAGGTAGACTGCTGCAGATCAGGGAGGCTCCATAGAACCCATTGCCACTGATGGGCAACGTTTCTCCAAAAAGGAAATTAGAGGGAAGGGGACAGACATAAATAAAACCTTTTCCCCGTCTTTTTTTTCCCCGAATGTCGGCTTGGGAGCTTCGTGTTTAATTCCTAATTTATTTATTTTTATATAAATTCCCCAAATTGAGTGGCACCGTCTCAGTCTTACACTGCTCGTCTGTCAGCCCCTTTAGAGAATGCCAGTCTCCAGATTTGGCATTTAAGGCTGGGGGGGGAAAAAAAGAAGAAAATATAAATACAAACTCACCGAGGTTTTTTGCGTGTCATGGCGTGAAAAGGGACAAGCCGGATCTGCTCAGCTGAAATTTTGTTTCGAATGAACGCTGGAACAGCGGATGGAGCCAATCAGGGAAAGGAGGTGGGAACATTCCGGGAGAAGCGGTTGGCAGTTAGGGGCTGATTTGCATACATTTCCATATGGAATGTAAAGTCAGCTGACGTCCAGCAGCCCTAAGGCAAACTTTGGATATGTGTTTTTTTTCTGTTTCACATTTTATTCTTGTTTGTAAAACAAATAAATGTATAGGAACACAAAACACAGCATTTTCCACAAAAGCTTTCACTGACCCTGTTAAATGCCTTTTTGGTAAACAGGAACCGAGTTTCAACGGAGAACTCCGTTTTGGGGAACTTTCTACCTTGTTCAATCAACTTGTGTTTGGGTGACATATTTTGCTTTGGGCCAGGATGGGGTAGAAGGAAGGTTTCCCCCCCAAAAAACTTTACTTTTGTTCTTCCTTCAGGCCTCCACGTCGTAGCAATTTTTGAGCAATGTCGCTTTTTCTAATTTGGCCCTACTCACGAGTCATCCTCTCTGCTTTATCTGCTCCTGCTGTCAGACTGCGGTGCTATCTCAAAATTAAATGAATTTCCAAACCGCCAATCTTTAAGAAAATCTTTCTTTAATTGAGCTCAGCCATCGGATCATGACTCCGCGCGGACAAGACTGACCTTTTGCCTCCCAATCCCTCCCTTTCTGATCCCCAAATCTCTGCTTCTCATTGGCTGTCTTCCAAGTCATTCTTCAGACTTCTTTTCCTCATCATTTCCCAGGAATGTGCCCCCTCCCCTCATCTCCACGACAACCAGGCTTCAAAGGGATTTAGCAGGCATAAGTTTCAGAGTTTATCTTTCGCTCTCCTCTGCTCTCTCTCTATGCCAGCGTTGCAACGCTGACATCTGCCTTCTGGCAGCTCTTCTCATACGTGAACTAGGAAAAGGCTCCTCCTGTTCCTCTGCCTCTCTACTGTCAGCCTCTGGAGGCTCCGAACTCCGCACATCACTCCCCGATGGCCCTGGCCCCATCTCTGCCTCTGATGTAGAGCCCTCATCCAGGCCTTCCCCAGCCTCCAGGACCGGTCCATGTTCTTCCTCAGCCTCATCGCTGTCCGATTCTGCTGCCAGCTCTGCAGACTGCTGGTGGATCACAACAACCGGTCCGAACCGGTAGAATCCCACCACTGATTTACAAGGCCACGGAGAACGAAAGCTGTACTAACAGATGTACACTCAGTTTCAGTGAAATGGCCGTGAAGGCATTTAAAATATAAATTTAGCCACACTTCCTTTTGTTGCAAAAGGGGATCAATTGATATTGCATGAAAGAAGCGGCAGAAATCCGTACATTTCTGATCTAACGGCTGAATTCTTCCCCTAACTCCCTCCAGAAAGTCAGGAAAATCATGTTGGCAGAAATAGGCAAGGAATTATAGCTAAAAATGGGCAGAAACATTCTTTTATGTCCTGGGGAATTAGATAATATTTGGAAGTGACTTCCTGGTTCAGTGGAGCATCAGAAGAAGAGGAGATAAAGCACAATCAGGCATGCAAAATATTCTTTCTATAGCTAATCTCAACAACGGGCATTTTTTAAAGCCTTCCTGCAGGTTGATTTTCTCCTTTGGCCTACCTCGCAGGGCTGACAATCTCTGTTTACACATCTCTGTTAAGCTTACAACCAGAGGTGAAATCCAGCAGGTTCTGACAGGTTCTGGTGAACCGGTAGTAGAAATTTTGAGCAGTTCGGAGAACCGGCAAATGCCACCTCTGGCTGGCCCCAGAATGGGGTGAGAATGGAGATTTTGCAATATCCTTCCCCCAGGAGTGGGGGAGGGAATGGGGATTTTGCCGTATCTTTCCCCTGGAGTGGGCCCACCAAGCCACGCCCACCAAGCCACACCCACAGAACCGGTAGTAAAAAAAAATTGGATTTCACCACTGCTTACAACCCAATCTTTTTTCTTTTTTTGGCCAAACTACTGTACCCCGTAGCATTGTACACTTAAAAAAAATACATATAAATTCATCCAGCTTGCAGAGAGCTTATGATTTATTTCATTTTTAAACTCCAGATCAAATTTTTGAAAACAGAGGGGAAGAAAAAGATTTCCTGTTTCTATTCAGCCGTTATTTTTCTAGAACTTTTGGAGGTGCAGGCCGCCATGTTCTCCTGAATCTCTTGAAACGTTTTGCCGCTGGTTTCCGGGATTCGGAAAATGTAAATAAAGGTGAAGATGATAAAAGGACAGTAAAGGAGCAAGTAATAGGATCCAAGATAGGGCTAGAGATGGAAACAAAAATTAAGAAAAACTGAGAGTAAACTCAGCCATGACACACACAGAATTCCGCGGTACGGTCACCTCTGTACTGGAAAAAAAAAATCCCCACAGAGTTTTTCAAGTATTTAAAAGGGTGGCGCAGTGGTGAGAGTGCAGTACTGCAGGCTACTTCTGCTGACTGCCGGCTGCCTGTAGTTTGGCAGTTCAAATCTCACCAGGCTCAAGGTTGACTCAGCCTTCCATCCTTCCAAGGTGGGTAAAAATGAGGACCCAAATTGTTCTTTCCTTCCTTCCTTCCTATCTTCCTCCCTCCCTCCCTTATCTCTTCTTCCTTCCTTCCTTCCTTCCTTTCTTCCTTCCTTCCTTCCTTCCTTCCTTTTCTCTCCCCCTCTTTCCTATCTTTCTTCCTCCATCTCTCTCCTTCCTTCCTTCCTTCCTTCCTTCCTTCCTTCCTTCCTTCCTTCCTTCCTTCCTTCCTTCCTTCCCCCGCTCCCTCCCAGTGGTTAGAATGCAGTATTGCAGGCTAACTCTGCCCACTGCCAGCAGTTCAATCCTGACCAACTGCCTCAAGGTTGACTCATCCTTCCATCCTTCCGAGGCGGGTAAAAATGAGGACTCAGATTGTTGGGGGCAATAGGGCTGACTCTGTAAACTGTAAAGCGGTATATAAGTCTAAATGCTATTGCTATTTCTATTTCTTCAATATATCGTCTTTACTTTTTTAAACTTCCAAAGGGATTAAAAGTCCCTTAAGTCAGCAGTGCTCAAACTTTGCAGTTTGGTGGACTGGCGGGGGTGGGGGAAAGGAACTGAGCTGCGGGCTGGCACGCATGTACGCGCAAAGCTTCACTTGTGTAAGTGACGTGCCAGTGCACACACGGGTGACAGCCCACAGCTCATGCTAGTCAATCTGCGCTTGGGTAGCAACTTGCTGCTCGAGCAGCCCTGTTGCAAATAGGCCTGAGGCAATGAGGGATCGGGCGAACCTGTAGCGGCGGTGTTGGGAGGTTCCGCCGACATGCGCAGAAGTGTCACTTGCGCACACAAACGAACCGATAGCAAACGAAATTGAAACCCACTCTGGGGGCTTGGGACCCCTGCCTTACACTAGTCAGAAGAAATAGTGTCGCCGAGACAAAATTGGTTCCCCAATTGATGAATCCTGCAAGCACATACGCAGATGCTCGGGATGACTGGAGGAACAGTTCACCGATAATCAGGAGAAGAATGGAAGCTGGATGGAGAGAAGAGGGGAGGTCTTATAATTTTTTTTAAAAAAAAACAACCACCATCACAAAATCTTCTCTTGGTCTTTTGCCACCTGCAAAGACTCCGTATCCCATCCGATCACAAACCTGGTCCCGTTATGTGGCCCATAAAGAAGACGATAATCAAAAGAAGGCTGATGAAGGCCACTTTGGGGCTGTCAATCTGTGGGCAAGAAGGAAGCGCCATCAAAGCAGTACCCCTCTCTCCCACCCGCTGGCCCAGCCGGATTCCACACCTTCAACCAACTTCCTAATTTTCCACAGGATTTGGAAACCCCATCTACAGAAAACTGGCATGAACTCTACAAAATTGACCGACTGGATGAAATTGACGGATTGGTGACATTAATGGATTGGTGAAATTGAGCAACTGGATGAAATGGACGGAGTGGAGAAATTGGTACAATTGACAAAACTGGATAGAATTGATGGATTTGGCACAATTGAACAACTTGGATGAAACGGAAAGGTTGGTGAAATTGTGGCCAACTGGGTGAAATTCATTACATCAGTTTTAACTGGCTGGGAGGCTTTGTATGTGTGAAAAAAAAAACCAACAACACACGGACGTTAACAGGGGGGGCATTCAAGTTGCCCTGGTGTAGAGAGCAGGACCCACCTGAAAAGTGAAGACTAGAGCAATATTTGAGATGCTACACATCAAGAAGCCACTCAAAAGGAGAAATTTCCGCCCCAAGGACTCAACGGTGCAGATCTAGAAAAAGCAAAAAAGCAAAGCACTTCAGGACATTGGAGAAAAGCTCCTAAGAAGACCATGGACAGCCAAGAACACAAACCAATAGATCATCACACAAAGGAGCCCACAATTTTTCATCAAGGCTGAAATAATTCTGGTTTTCACTTTTGCTATTGTTTTCACTAATTTGAACTGCTCCCTGCTTGTTCTATTGCTTTGGGCTACATCACCCTACGTCGGTGGGTGCAGCTGAGAACACAAACAAGCCAGTAATCAAGTGGGGAATACGAGGTGGCATTGGCCTAAGTCTAGTGGTGAAATCCAGCCGGATCTATCCGACTTGTGTGAACCGGTCGCACCATTGTCGGGAGGCTCCGCCCACCCGCTGGGACGTCATTACGTCCCCTTTTTGACCTCTGCGCATGTGCAGAAGAGGCGCGCACGCTCCCATTCCCGAACAGGTAGCGAAGGTAAGTGGATTTCACCGCTGCCTAATTCGGTGGGGTGACGGAGGCAGCTGAGAACATGAACAAGCTTACAGTCGTCAGAAGCATCAGCTGGATGATCACGCTTCCCACTAATGGAAGGAGATTGACAGCTCTGGAGGACAGTCTTAAAGCTTGATAGCTCCGCTGGGCGAAAATTAAAACCTGCAATCAAAGACAAAAGAGGTGCAGATGGAGGCACAGGTAGGATTTGAGTCAGGCCCTGTTGTCTTCTAAGTAGATTCGTCATCTGCAGACAGAATCTTGCCAAACTAAAGCACCATAAAAGACTCTAGGAACTATTAAGGAGGAGCCGTCTTCACCCTATTTCTCTCACACCAACTATAACTGTGTAGTCTCTTGTTTCTCTGGAATTCAGCTCATCCTCCCCCCCCCCCCAATCCCCTGGGAATCCAGACCACATTCCATCACACTTTGCCCGTTTGTAAAATGTACCAGCTGCCTTTGCTATCCTGGAGCCCAGGATCAATCTGGATGTGCATCCAAAAATATTGTTCGGCACTTTGAGGAGGACAAAGACTCCAAATTTGAACCGTGAGCGAGATTGCAACTAACCGAGTTGGTTTCCACAAATTGACTTCCGGAGATCAAGACCATGATGGTGATGACATGCCACCGGAGGTTGCGGAAGCGAAGAAGTTTCCACACTGTCATGTTCTTCTGGTTGCTTTCGGCAAAATATTCCTGACAAAGTTCTTCCATTTCCTCCTCTACGTCTTCTTCTCCGCGCAGCTTCATCAAGACTAAAGGAGGAGGAAGAGGAGGGGAAGGACAAGAACATGTGCAGAGGAGTATAGAGGTGGGTTTCCAAGCCCCCCTGTTTAACTGGTCTTAACCAGGGGTGAAATGCTCCCAGTTCGAACTGGATCAGACGATCCGGTAGTGATCGTGGCCGGTAGTTCGGAGAACCAGTAGCGATGGTGGAGCAAAGCTCCACCCACCTGCCAGGGTGTCGTTACTTCCTGGTTTTAATCAGGAAGTAATGCGTTTTTTACCCTCTGCGCATGCACAGTGTCAGGTTTCGATATCGTCTCAAATAAAATAAATTGCATTTCCAAACAGATAGTCTTTGAAGAAATCTTTCATTTTATTAAACACGACAATCTGCCCCTGATCGTGGCGTAAACCAACTCTGACTTCCTGACCCCAAACCCTCCCTTTCCGTTCCCCAAATCTCTGCATCTCATTGGCCTTCTTCCAAATCACTCTCCCCATGTCTACTACTTAAGCTCCCAGGAATGTCCCGACTCCCTCTCATCTCCTAGGGGATATTATCTTCAAGAAAAATAAGTAGGTGAAATGTCGAGCGTCTTCTTGACAGCTACCCCCTCTTCTCCTTCTTATGTCAGCACTAGCGTAAATGCAGGTTGAAGTGCTGACACACAGAAGATTTTGCACATCTTGAAGGTCTGCGAGTGTATGTGATGCGCGCGGGGCCGGTACACTTCCGAACCAGTAAAGAAGGTAAGTAGATTTCACCCCTGGTCTTAACTCAGAGGGCTCAGATGGTCCAGGGCTCCCAGATGCTTAGGAGCAGAGCCTGTAACTCATAGTCTGCTCTTCTCTTCTCCTCTTTTCCTTTTCTTCTCAAAACTCAGAGCTCTTGGAAAAAGACCCTCACTCTTGTTCACCAAGAGATGGACTCTCATAGGAGGCACCCTTTGAGATGATGGCTTCCAACTTCGTCAGTGAAACTGAGGACCAACGGTTGACATCTCCCCTCTTGTTCAGACAATCTTTAAGAAGGACCATCTTTGGCCATGGCCTCCTGGATCCCAGAGAAACCCCACCCTTTCCGTTCCCACCAAAGTATCTGACAGACGAAAAGGACTTCCTAAACAACCATCCAAAATGTTGTCCCCTTAGGGGGCCACAATTGGCAAAAGGGCTGCATTTGGAAGGAGCCCCCAAGCCTTACAGATCCGAAGAACAGAAGCTGGGCTTCAGGCCTGATCCTCCCTTTGGCCCAGACGAGTGGCTCGTAAGGCCGTAACGCCAGACTGGCGTGTCCTTACCTTGCCTTGCTTCCTCTTCGTCGTTCTTCTGCAAGTACAGAAACCTCGGACTTTCCGGTGAAGGCACCAACAATATACTACTAATTATAGCAAATATGGCAGTCACGCCCACCAAAAATGAAAAATCTATGGCAGAGAGAGAGAGAGAAGGAGGGAGAACATCAGGAAACTCCTGATCCTACTGTATGTTTTAGAATAGTGATGGCTAACCTTTTTGCCGTCGCGTGCCAAAAGCGCGGGGAGTGTGGGGAGGTCACGCGTGGCCGTGCCCACACCCATAATTCAATGCCCCCATGCCCCGCCCCCCACGCATGCACGCGTCGACTCCTCATGCTCCCTCTTTTGGCACGCAATGGCAAAAAGGTTACTGGTGGGCCCGGTAGGCCTGTTTTTTGCCCTCCCCAGGCTCCAGAGTCTTTCTAGGAGCCTGGGGAGGGCAAAAATGGCCTCCCAAACCCGCCCAGAGGCCCCCTGGATGCCGGAAAAAAGCCCGTTTCCCAACTTCTGGTGGGACCAGAAGGCCCGAAAATCAGCTGGAGCTCAGCTAGGCCAACGCTCACGTGCACACAAATATGGCCCACAAATATGGTGGTTCGCCATCACAATTTTAGAACCGACATTTCTCTTTTCTACATCCTCTTCTCTTGCTTTGATCCTTCTGCGCTGGGACAATGGATAGACACCCTCCCTGGGTTAGGACGACTTAAAGTTTATAGCGAGGATGGAGGTGGAAAGACTTACTTTCTTCGTTTCCCCAGATCTGGGGGCTGGTTAAGATTTGGACTAGAAGATGTCCCCAGCTATAGAAGAGGACTGAAGACGTCACAAAGGCTCCCCTTAGGTTCAAGGAAGAGATTTCAAGGATGTAGAGAGGGACAGAGTAAGTAAAGATACCTGTGGAAAGCATTAAACATGGCATTAGGATCACACCTTGCATTCTAGCGAGCACAGAATTTAGGAGCATCTACGGTGCACGGCTGGCCCTGAGATTTGCCAATTTAAATGTCCAAGTTAGGGGACACTGGGTTGTAACAGTGCTGTGCTGTCCAATGCAAACGTCACTCGTTCTTGCCTGGTGCTCCGGTTTGGGCTGATCGCTTGAAGCAGATCCTGGACCCAAGAAATTAGGGCATGTGCCTTTTCTCCAGTGGCGGGTCGCTACCAGTTCACCCCGGGTTGGGGGAAACAGGTAACGGCGGTGGTGGAAGTCTCCACCCACCTGCCTGGATGCTCGGATGTGGAAGCGTGCACGCGCGCTCCCACGAGCAAACTGGTAGCGACGGGTTTTGAAAGCCGACCCTGCTTCTCTCCCAGCCTGCTCTTCCTTCTCATTTCACGGGTTTGACTCTCACTGCCGTCTCCTTATGACTAAAATCCTCGGAGTCTTCTTTAACCAGATTTATTGAAGGGGAGACAAGAGTTAGGTTGCAGAAATCTTGGCATATGGCTACAGGCAGTCCTTGACGTACGACTACGACTGACCCAAGATTTCTGTTGCTAAGAGAAACGTTTGTTAAGTGAGCTTTGTCCCGTTTTACGACCTTTCTTGCCACCGTTTTTAAGGGAATCGCTGCAGTTGTTAAGTTAGTCACAGGGTGGTTAAGTGAATTGATTGATTTTGATCAATTCCTGATTGATTTTGCTGGCCAGAAGGTCGCAAGAGGGGATCGCATGACCTCAGGACACTGCAACCGTCGTAAATACGCGTCAGTTGCCCAGCGTCTGAATTTTGATCTCGCGTGCATGGGGATAGTCATAAAGGTGAAAATGCTCACAATTCACTGTTTCAAATGCTGTTGTAACTTTGAATGGTCGCTAAATGAACTGTTGTAAGTCAAGGACTGCTTGTACATTTCTTCTACATCCAAATTATTTCTCCATTCATTATGAAGGTTTCTTCCTGGGGGGATTCACTGCCCTGTTTTTCTTGCTAACGGAAGTAATAACTGCATAGTCTACATTCAGAATATTTGCAAAGGACCATCCTGATTCCTAGGCTCCAAGAAACCCACTGTCAGGCTTCTCCGGACTTGAGCCTTTAGGAAAGAAAGACCCTCAACTCCAATTCTGAAGTGACAGGATTACTTTTACTAAAGCCAAGCGGTTACAGCATGAACGAATCTGGATCGCAATATTCCTGCACAAATCCTGTGATTTTCCCTCTTCCCTGGCCCTCCCCGCTTGACCAGTCCATCAGTGTCCAATGATATTCAGACTAGATGTTTTGGGAACGGCTTTGAGGTTTGGTGCCTCTTTGGTGGAGTTTCACATTCCATTCTCACGACTCTGTCCTTGATTGGTCAGTCTGCTCCAGACTGACAGCTTTGGTTCCTGTAACCCTGCCATCCCCCCCTCCTACCTCCCCAATCCTACTCTTTACTTCCCCGATCCTTAACTCCGAAATTAAGGGACATTTAATGCAAAGGCAGAGTTCAGCCCTTTTATTTGGGGGCTTAAAATAAAGCGGTCAAGGACTCACCTGACCCCACTCCTGCGAAAAAACGAGTAAAGAGGCTGAATGCAAAGTGCTGGAATATTCTATCAAAGCACAGGAGGGTAGATGAAAAAATGCTAAGTCCGTTACTAATTAATAGGGCGGATTTTCTGCAAACAGACAGAAAGAGATATATTTAGGAAAGCAGGAAATGCAAGAATGCTGCTATTATTATTATTATTATTATTATTATTATTATTATTATTATTTAATCTTTAGTGAGATTCACAGCCTTTGAGGCTGGTTAATAGCTCAGCAGCTCGAGTCCTAACCAAGGACCTAGGAACTGTTAAGGTATCGTCGGAGGATGTAAGCTGTTCCGAGTAAGGTGGTTTTTTGTAGAGTCAAAATGTTCAAGTCCGGCAAATTTAGGATTTCTAAATAGCGGGGTAGCCCTTTGGGTATTGCTCCAAGGGTATTGCTCCAATCGGGACAACACACAATTTCTTTTTCCACAGTCGCTCAACTTCAATTTGCAAGTCCCGGTACTTTGTGATTTTTTTCTTATCTTCAATCCGTGCATCACCAGGTATTGCAATGTCAATGAACCATATTTTTTTCTTTTCAACTATTGTTATGTCAGGTGTGTTGTGGACCAAGTGCCTTCCAGTCAATAATAATAATAATAATAATAATAATAATAATAATAATAATAATAATAATAATAATAATAATAATAATAATAATGTATTTTTTACGGGAACAATTCGTTCCTGGAATTGCAAAAAGTTATACAAAATGACAAAATAGCTTCACCAGGAAGATCCAACTCTGTAATTCTGTTATTTATTAAATATTTATTTAAACACAACCCCTGTTTATTTAAACCTTGGTTCTCTTTTCAGTGGATCGATAGGTTCTGTTCTCTGGGGGTTCGGATCTATGTGGGTACTCAGGAGAGGGCTTCACTTTACATGCCAATCAGTGGTGGAATTCAAATTGTTTTACTACCGGTTCTGTGGGCGTGGCTTGGCGGGCAGGTGTGGCTTGGTGGGCGTGGCTTGGTGGGCATAGCAGGGAAGGATACTGCAAAATCCCATCCCCACCCCACTCCAGGGGAAAGATACTGCAAAATCCCCATTCCCACCCCACTCCAGGGGAAGGATCCTGCAAAACCCATTCCCTCCCCACCCTGGGGCCAGCCAGAGGTGGCATTTGCCGGTTCTCCAAACTACTCAAAAATTCCGCTACGGTTCTGCAGAACCTGCTGAATAGCCCCTGATACCAATGTATGGCACCAATGCCAACAGAAACCGCCAAAATTTGGCACTTTATTTTATATCTACAGCCCAGGAATTCTGTTTAGGTATGTGTGTACCTTCCATATCTGTCTGCCAGACAGCCCCAAAGAAACACCCCAAAAAGGCCTCCGAGCGGGACGGAAATGATGGCGATTAATATTAATAACTGGAAACTCAAGGAGTGCGAATCGAGCCCTTCCAGATTCAGCAACTGCATCTTTCTCTAAAAACAGAAAACATCAACAATACGCCACTGTGCTGCTGCACTTCACCTCCCAGCTGCCTCCCTCCAATCAGCTCACAACTCAGCAGGTAGGCTGGCCAGCTGGGAGGGAGGAGAAGAGAGGAGGGGAGGGGAAAGGAAAGAGCGGAGAGGAGAGGAGGGGAGGGGAGGAGAGGGGAGGGGAAAGGAGAGGAGGAGGTGGGAGGGGAGAGGAAAGGAAAAGAGAGGAGAAGAGAGGAGAGAAGGGGAGGGGAGGGGGGAGGAAAGGAGGAGGAGGAAATGGACGGGGAGGAGGAAAGGAAAAAAAGAGAGGAGGGAGGAGGAGCGGAGAGGAGGGGAGAGGAGGAGGAGGAAGAAACAGGATAATAATAATAATAATAATAATAATAATAATAATAATAATAATAATGTATTTTTTACGGGAACAATTCGTTCCTGGAATTGCAAAAAGTTATACAAAATGACAAAATAGCTTCACCAGGAAGATCCAACTCTGTAATTCTGTTATTTATTAAATATTTATTTAAACACAACCCCTGTTTATTTAAACCTTGGTTCTCTTTTCAGTGGATCGATAGGTTCTGTTCTCTGGGGGTTCGGATCTATGTGGGTACTCAGGAGAGGGCTTCACTTTACATGCCAATCAGTGGTGGAATTCAAATTGTTTTACTACCGGTTCTGTGGGCGTGGCTTGGCGGGCATGGTGTGGCTTGGTGGGCGTGGCTTGGTGGGCATAGCAGGGGAAGGATACTGCAAAATCCCCATCCCCACCCCACTCCAGGGGAAAGATACTGCAAAATCCCCATTCCCACCCCACTCCAGGGGAAGGATCCTGCAAAACCCCCATTCCCTCCCCACCCTGGGGCCAGCCAGAGGTGGCATTTGCCGGTTCTCCAAACTACTCAAAATTTCCGCTACCGGTTCTGCAGAACCTGCTGAATAGCACCCCTGATACCAATGTATGGCACCAATGCCAACAGAAACCGCCAAAATTTGGCACTTTATTTTATATCTACAGCCCAGGAATTCTGTTTAAGGTATGTGTGTACCTTCCATATCTGTCTGCCAGACAGCCCCAAAGAAACACCCCAAAAAGGCCTCCGAGCGGGACGGAAATGATGGCGATTAATATTAATAACTGGAAACTCAAGGAGTGCGAATCGAGCCCTTCCAGATTCAGCAACTGCATCTTTCTCTAAAAACAGAAAACATCAACAATACGCCACTGTGCTGCTGCACTTCACCTCCCAGCTGCCTCCCTCCAACTCAGCTCACAACTCAGCAAGGTAGGCTGGCCAGCTGGGAGGAGAGGAGAAGAGAGGAGGGGAGGGGAAAGGAAAGGAGCGGAGAGGAGAGGAGGGGAGGGGAGGAGAGGGGAGGGGAAAGGAGAGGAGGAGGTGGGAGGGGAGAGGAAAGGAAAAGAGAGGAGAGGAGGGGAGGGAGGGGGGAGGGGAGGATAGAGGAGAGGAGGGGAGGGGAGGAAACAGGTAGGGAGGGGAGGGGAAAGGAAAGGAGGGGAGGAGAGAGGAGAGGAGGAGACAGGAAGGGAGAGGAGAGGAGAGGAGAGAAAAGAAGAGAAGAGAAGGGGAGGGGAGGGGAGGGGAGGGGAAGGAAAGGAAAGGAAAGGAAAAGAGAGGAGAAAAGGGGAGGGGAGGGAGGAGGGGAGGGGAAAGGAGAGGAGAGGAAAGAAGAGAAGGGGAGGGGAGGGGAGGGAAGGGGAGGGGAGGAGAGGAGAGAGGAGAGGAGGAGACAGGAGAGGAGAGGAAAGGAAAGGAGAGGACAGGAGAGGAGGGGAGGATATGGGAAGGGAGGGGAAGGGAAGGGAGGGGAAATGAGAGGAGAGGAGTGGAGAGGAGCAGCGACACCCAGCAAGGTTCACTTACCACAATGGGATGGGTGATAAGGAAGAACGTGTATCCATACTGCAAAAACCCCAAATTGGACCCCAGTACCGAGAGAACGAGTGGACCGGTCAGTTTCTATGAGAAGGTGCAGGAGGAGGAAAACAACAACACAATTCCTTCAGTGGACAAGGACAAAAACCAACACAACACTCAAAACCCATCTAAGACCTCCCCTCTCCTTTCCCCCTCTCCGTTTCTGTCTTGGATGGGAAGAACGCCAATCTTCTGCATGTGATTTACTCTTAGGGGAAACTAATGATTTTCCCCAAGTTAGTTTGGACTCCAGGCATCTCCTGGTGGTGTCCCATCCACAAAGAAAGCCAGCTGAGCTTTAGGAGATTCCAAAGATTGCCTAGGCCCTGCCATTTAAAAAAAATAAATACAGTTGAGAGCTGATCCTCTTCAGAAATTCTTCATCATTTCTCTGCCCTGCCTTGCCCTAAAGCTTAGAAATAACCTCCGGTCGAGATAAACCGCAACTCAACCAGCTTTCCAAACTCACATCATTTCGGATTGTGGGTTCCGATTCCGCTCTGACCTCCATCCTTCCGGGGAGATGAAGGAAAAACCCCTGATCGGACAAAAACAAAATAAAAAAGCAAAAAAGTCCGTGCCTTTGTTCATTCTTCCACCATATTTACAAACCATTCTCCCCCCCGAATCCAGACAGGGAACCCACAAACTGTTCTCCTTGATGGCTCCTGTTCCGAGATAGACTGCGGTGGATCCGGGAGGCTCCATAGAGCCTGTAGCCAACGATGGACGGCTTTTCTCAAAGAGGGAATTAAAGGGGGCAAACGTAGGTTTCCCCCATCTTTTCTTTTGAACGTTGGCTTGAGAGCTTCCTGTTCAATTCCTAATTGTTGTAATAAATCCCCCCAAAAATTGGCTGGCACCCTCCCTGACCCTCCACTGCTCTTCTGGAGGAGGCCAGTCTTCCAGATTTTGGATTTTAAGGCTAGAAAAAAATTTTTTTTTTTTAAAAAAAAGCCAACTTACTGTCTTGGAGTAAAAGGAGAAAAACCACAGCTATCTTTTCTTTAGAAGGGAAAATGCTGGAGCAGCAGCGAGAGCCAATCAGGGAAAGGAGGCGGGAACATTCCGGGAAAAGCGAAATGGCAGTTAGGCGGCTGTTTTGCATAAATTTACATGCAGGGGGTTCCACTTTCAGGGGTTGAAATTCCTGTTGCTAAGCGAGACTTTTTATTATGTGAAGTTTGCGCCAATTTGCGACCTTTGGCAGAGTTATTAAGTGAATCACCGCAGTGGATAAATTAGTAACCCGGTTGTTAAGTGAATCTGAGTTCCACATTGACTTGGTTTGTCAGAAGGCCGCAAAAGGGGATCACGTGATCCCGGGACACTGCGATCGTCATAAATATGAGACGGTTGCCAAGCATCTGAATTTTGATCACGTGATCATGGGGATGCTGCAATGGTCATTAGTGTGTAAAATGGTCATAAGTCACTCTTTTCTGTGCCGTTGCAACTTCCGTCACTAAATGAACCATAGTAAGTCAAGGACTACCTATATTTTAGACCCGTTTTGTAAGGGGAAGAGAATTTATCAGGGTTTTTTTTTTTTTATTTCCTCTTTTCAGCATCCAGTTGGAATGGATTATTTATGTCTAGATTTAATTCAATATTTGAGTCATTTTTTCCCCTTTTTTGCAGACAATTTCCCCCTTTTTTTGTTGTTAGTGTTGGATGTATGTTTTTCCGTTCTGCATGTTATTCTTCCTGACAAAACAAATAAACCTATGTAAACACAAAGACACACTGCAGAGTGCAAGAAAGCATTTGACTTACCCTGTTAAATGCCTTTTTTTTTAAAAAACAGGAATCGAGTTTGAATGGAGAGCGCCATCTTGGGGACCTTTCAGCCTTATTAAATAAATTTGTGCTTGGGTGACATATTTTGCTTTGGGCCACGATGTAGTCAAGAGAATTTTTTTTTCAAAATGTTAATTTCATCCTTCCTTCTGGCCTCTACATTGTAGCAATTTTTTGAGCATTGTCACTTTTTCTAATTTGCAAATCGGCTATTTTAATAATCTGGCCTTGAGATGGCTTATTAAACCTCCTCATTGTTCAATAACAAGCTTATTAAATCCTGCTTTTTCTCCGTTTCTAGCATCCTCACATGGAGGCCGAAATACGGATGACCAAATTGTTAAATTCTGAGGGCTGAACTCTCACTCTATTTTTTATTTCTTTCCCTTCCCTTTGTTTTACTTTCTTGTATCACATCATTTTGTTTTGACATTTGGCCTCCTGCATCTCATTTCTCTACCCTTTTGCTCCTGCTGCCAGCGTTCCAGCGTTGACATATGAAAGGAGAGGAGAAGCTTGAACTTTTGCCTACTTAATTCCTTTGAAGATTCTGTTTCCTCGGAGATGGGAGGAGGGGGGACATTCCTGTGATCTGATGGAGATGGGATGAGGAGAGTGGCTTGGAAGATAGCCAATGAGATGCAGAGAATTGGGGATCGGAAAGGGAGGGATTGGGGGGCAAAGGTCAGTGCTGACCGCGAAAGAGCCAGGGACAGATCACTATGCTCAATAAAGAGAAAATTTCCTCAAAGATCGGCAGTTTGGAAATTCATTTATTTTGAGATAGCATCGAAACCTGACACCTGCATTGAAACCTGGCAAGGATTTACAGCAAGGCAATGCAGAACAAAATGTCAGGTCTGCCAGGCTCGGCTTGGTGCCTCACAGGTGTCCCGCCATCAAAGGCTAGAAGGTGTGGGGTAGGATAAATGGGTAATCAAGATATGCATATCTACATGTTGGGAAATAGGAAGGAGGGAATGGCAGGTGATAAAGAGCAGAAAAGCTCAGAATCGGTTTGCATCGGAATCCAAGGCCAGGCACCCTGAGAAATAATGTGGATTACTTCAAAACATCTCACCATTCTCAAAACATTTCAGCGAGTTCTGATTGGCTGAAGACAGACTGGTCATGGGGGGAGGGCTTTGAAGAGGGGAAACCTGACTGTATCTTTTGAGTGCGGGCAACCCAGATCTAGCCTGACTTAACTGCAGCTAACCTCTCTGTAGTAAAAGAACCTTTCACTTCAACCAGATGGAGTCGAGGGTCTCTCTTTCTTAAGGGATCAGATTGTGGCAGGTCTGACACAAAAGTTGTAATAAAAGATTTACACTCAGTTTCACTTTCCTGGTGGCCATGAAGGCATTTAAAGTATTAATTTCCTTTTGTTGCAAAAGGAGATCTATTGATATAATAAGAGTTGGGAAGGAGCCTGGAGGTCTTCTAGTCCACTCCCCTGGTCAAGCCAGAGACCTTATACCATTTCAGACAAATGGACATCCAATCTCTTCTTAGAAACCTCCAGTAATGAAGCACTTACAATTTCTGAAGACAAGCTGTTCCACTGGTTAACTGTCCTTAATTAACAATTAAGGACAACTTCCTGTTAGGAAGTTTCTCCTTAGTTCCAGGCTGCTTCTCTCCTTGATTAGTTTCCATCCATTGCTTCTTGTCCTGCCTTCTGGTGCTTTGGAGAATAGCTTGACTCCTTGTTATTTGTGTCAACCCCTCAAATATTGGAACACAGCTATCATCTCACCCCTCGTCCTTCTTTTCATTAAAACTAGACAAAACCCAAATTCGGTAACCGTTCTTCATATGTTTTAGCCTCCAGTCCCCTAATCATCTTTCTTGCTCTTCTCTGTACTCTTTCTAGAGGCTCACCTTTTTTAAATTATTATTATTGTAGAGACCAAAACTGGATGCAGTAATCTCCTAATCTTCTCTACAGAGTCAGGAAAATCACCTTGGTAGAAATATGCAAGAATTATAGCTAAAAAGGGCGGAAAAATTATTTTATGTCCTGGGGAATAATATTTGGAAGTGCCTGCTAAACTTACAACTCAATCTTTTTTGCCAAACTAGTGTAGAAGGGTTAAAAAAAATAGTACAAATAAATCCATCCAGCTTGAAGAGAGCTTCTGTTTCACTATATTTGTTTAATTCCAGATCAATTTTGAAAACAGGGGGAAGAATGAGATTTCCTGTTTCTATTCAGCCGTTATTTTTCTGGCATTTCTGGAGGTGCAGGCCGCCATGCTCTCCTGGATTTCTTGAAATGTGTTGCCGCAGGTTTCTGGGACTACCCAGAAAATGTAAATAAAGACGAGGATCATAAAAGGCCAGTAAAGGAGCAAGTAGTAGGACTCAAGGTAGGACTAGAGACGGAAACAAAAATTAAGAAATACTGTGATCAAACTTGGCAGGCCCACGAGACACACAGAATTCGCCCACGAGACACACAGAATTTGGTGGGTTTCAAAAATTTTTATTACCAGTTTTGTGGGTGTGGGTGTGAAAAGGAGTTTTTAAATAAATATTTGTTTTCATATATTTTATTCATTTTTTTAAACTTTCAAAAGGATTACCAAAGGGTCCCTTACCTTAGTCAGAAGGAACAGCAAAGCTGACAAAAAATTGATTCCCCAACCGAAAAATCCTACAATCACATACGCGGACGCTCGGGATGACTGGAGGAACAATTCACCAATAATCACGGGAATAATGGAAGCTGGATGGAGAGAAGAGGGCAGGCCTCGTAATAAATTTTTTTTTTAAAGCAACAGCCACAAAAACTTCCCTTGGTCTTTTTCCACCTGCAAAGACTCCGTATCCCATCTGATCACAAACCTGGTCCCATTACGTAGCCCACAAAGAAGAAGATAATCAAAACAATGCTGATGAAGGCCAGCGAGGGGCTGTTGACCTGTGGGGTAGAAGGAAGCACCTTTGGGTGACCATCAAAATAGTAACCCTTCCCCCCTCCCCAAAATTTACATCTTCAGCCAACCTCCTATCTAGAACCCCATCTAGAGAAAACTGGCATTAACTCTTTGAAATGAACCAGCTGGGTGAAATTGACTGACTGGATGAAATTGATGGATTGTTGAAATTGACAGATTGTTGAAATTGATAGATTGTTGAAATTGATGGACTGGTGCAAGTGACCAACTGGATGAAATTTAAGGATTGGTGAAATTGACCAACTAGATGAAATTTACCGATGGGTGAAATTGATCTACAGGTCAAAACTGATGGATTGGTGAAATTGATGGATTGGTGAAATTGACCAACTGGATGAAATTGACAAATTGGTGCAATTGACCAAATGGATGAAATCGATGGATTGGGTGAAATCGATGGATTGATGAAATGGATGGATTGGTGCAAATGACGAACTGGATGAAATTGATGGACTGGTGAAATTGACAGATTGGTGAAATTGATGGTGAAATTGACCAACTGGATGAAATTCACCAGATTGATTTTAACTGTCTCGGAAGGTTTGTGTAGGAGAAAAACCACAGGGATGTTAACAGAAGGGCATTCAAATTATCCCGGTGCAGAGAGTAGGAATAGGAATGTTACCTACCTGAAAAGTGAAGACTAGGGCAATATTTGAAATGCTACACATCAAGAAGCCACTCAAAAGGAGAAATCTCCTCCCCAAGGACTCGACGATGCAGATCTGGAAAAAAAACAAAGCACAAGAGAATTGACACATCTGGAAGTTGGTGAAAAACTCCTGAGAAGACCATGGACAGCCAAGAACACAAAACCAATGCATCATCAAACAAAGGAGCCCACAATTTTTCATCGAGGCTACAATAATCCCAGTCTTTCCTTTTGCTATCGTGTTTTCGCTAATTTGAACTGCTCCCTGCTGGTTGTATTGCTTTGGGGTACATCACCCTACGTCGGTGGGTGCAGCTGAGAACACAAACAATCCAGTAATCAAGTGGGGATACAAGGTGGCTTACGGTTGTCAGAAGCATAAGCTGGACGATCACGTTTCCTGCTAATGGAAGGAGCCGTATAGATTTGGCAGACATTCCTAAAGTTTTATAGCTTTGCTGGGCAAAAATTAAAATCTGCAATCAAAGACAAAAGAGGTGCAGATGGAGGCACACATAGGATTTGGGTCAGGCTCTAAAAACCCCTCTTACAATTCTTCTAAGGTAATTCATCACCTACAGACAGAATGTTGCTAAAGCACATGAAGTGTAGACTCTGGGAACTATTCAGGAGGAGCTGTCTTCACCCTATGTCAGCCCTGAAGCTGACCCTGATCGGAGCCACATTGGAGCTTCAGTGTTGCCACACTGGAGCTGAGGTATAGGGAGTGGGGATTACAGATAGAAGGGTTTGTGTAGCCAAAACAAGATACTTTCTCTTGAGAACCAAGGACATTCTCACACCTGGTCCATGGAAGAAGGAGATTGGACCATGTGACTGATTGTTTGGAGCTTGGGAAAAACTTTCGTCGCGGCAGTCCAATGGTGATTTGCAACCCTGCACATACACTTCCAGAGAACTGACGGAGACCAAGATGAGATGGGCTGTCTGGGAGAAGGAAGCCTATGTTGTTCATTGGGTCTTATTGATTTGGAGGCACTTCCTAGAGGGAAGTCACATTCCGTTTGAAGGGTGGACTGACCATAAGAACCTAGAATCATCCACTCCATGATTCCCCCCTCCCAAACTGCCTCGCAAGCCATGATCCGCAGCCAAGCTAGACGGCAGGGAGCTATGAGCAGGGGGGGGTGGTAACTGAGAAATTGAAAGGTGAGTTGCCAGCTGACCCGTGGTACGATGAAAACAAAGAGGCGCTGACCCTAAAGAATAGACTAGTCTGGAAAGGCTCAAAGTTATATGTGCCTGCAAGTCTTCAACTTCAAGTTCTCCAGCAGAGCCATGACTCCAAGCAGGCGGGGCATTTTGGCTACTTAAAAACTCTACATTTGGCCAGAAGGCAGTTTTGGTAGCCAAAGATAAAGAAAGACGTTGAGGACTATGTCAAAAGCTGTGCAATGTGCGCGGCCATGAAAAAAAGACCACGGAAATCCCCAGGGCTACTTCAACAGGTGGCAGACCCATCCACACCCTGGGAGGAGATCACCATGGACTTTATTGTTGAACTCCCTGAAAATGAGGGAAATACGGTCATTTGGACTGTGATAGACCTATTCTCAAAACAAGCCCACTTCACCACTTGTTCAGGGCTTCCCTCAGCGAAAAAACTGGCCAAATTGTGTTTTTATAAAGCAGATTTACAGGTTACATGGCGTTCCCCACAGAATCATTTGATGGGGGGGGTCCAATTCACTGCCAAGTTCTAGAGAGAGTTCACTAGGTCCATTGGGCCCTTGTAGGGACTTAGCTCGCCTTTTCATCCGAGTACCAATGGGGCCGCGGAATGTACGAATGTCATGATAGAGCAAGTATTTAAGGTGCTATGTCAATTATCAGCAGTCTAATTGGGCAGAGCTATTGCTATTCGCTGAAGTGGTATACAATAATACTGTACACAGCAGCACTGGCCTGACTCCTTTCCAGGTCACAAGTGGCATGGAATTCGTCCTCATGCCTGAGCTCCCCAGGGAGCCCCCCTCATCAGTCTCCTCGAGTGAATGGATGGAGTGTTTGAAGGAGGAGTGGGAAAACACTAAGCGGGCTCTGCGGGAAGCAGCGAAAACCTATAAAGTGGAAGCCGACAAACACCACAGACCCCAAGAGCCGTTTTGGGTTGGGAGCAAGGCCTACCTTTCTATGAAATACCTTAGACTAAAACTCCCATGCAAAAAGCTAGGACCAAAGTTCATAGGCCCTTTCCCAATAGAGAAAGTAATTAATCGGTTACCGTCCAGATTAGACTCCCTCGCCTGCTAGGGAAAGTGCATCCGTCTTTCACAGTAGCTTACAAGCCAGCCACTTGGTGCTTTGAAGTGGACAGGACTCCAAATTTGAACCCTGGAAAAGCAAACAGCACATCCTTTCTATGTGAGGCTGCTCAGGGAAGTCACTAACCGCGTTTGTTTGCATAAATCGACTTCCGGTGAGTAAGACCACGACGGTGATGACATGCCATCGGAGGCTGCGGAAGCGAAGAAGTTTCCACACTGTCATGTTTTTCTGGCTGCTTTCGGCAAGATGTTCCTGACAAAGTTCCTCCATCTCCTCCTCTACGTCTTCTTCCCCTCTCAGCTTCTTCAAGACTAAAGGAGGAAGAAGAGGAGGAGGAGACAAGAACATCTACATTTGGAAGGAGCCACAAAGCCCTGCAGATCCGAAGGGCAGAGGCTGGGCTACAGGCCTGATCCTCCCTTTGGCCCAGACGAGCGGCTCGTAAGGCCGTAACGCCAGACTCGCGTGGCCATACCTTGCCTTGCTTTCTCTTCGTCGTTCCTCTGCAAGTACAGAAACCTCGGACTTTCCGGAGAAGGCACCAACAATATACTACTAATTATAGCAAATATGGCTATAACGCCCACTAATAATGAAAAATCTATGGCAGAGACAGAAGGAGGGAGGACATTAGGATCCTACTGCATCTTTTAGAAGTAACATTTATCTTTTCTACATCCTTTTCTCTTGCTTTGATCTGCGCTAGGACAATGGAAAGATACCCTCCCTGGCTTGGCATGACTTAAAGTTTGCAGCAAGGATGGATGGAGGTGGAAGTACTTACTTTCTTCATTTCCCCAGATCTGGGGACTGATTAAGGTTTGGACCAGAAGGGATCCCCAGCTGAGGAAGAGGAGCAAAGTGGTCACCAAGGCTCCCCTCAGATTCAAGGAAGAGATTTCAAGGATGTAGAGAGAGACAGAGTAACTAAATGTTCCTGTGGAATGAATTAAACATTGCGGTTCAGTCACAGCTTGCATTCTAGCAAGTGCAGAATTTAGGAGCATCTATGGTTGTTCTGCCCCAGCTCTGGATTTCCGAGGATATTGACACACACCAACAGTCCTTGTCAAATTTATTAAGTAGCAAGAATAAACAAGACCGGCAAAGGTTGGCAACCAGCCCAGAAAACAAGATATGATAAACCAAAATACTCTGATAATAATACAAGTTGTTTCCAGCAAGAACGCACTAGCTGTGTGCGACTTAAATAGGCTAAGGGAGTGGCCAATTATCCTCAAGCCCTACTCTCGAGTAGAGCTCCTCCTCCTGAGTAGCCACTCCTGCCTTTTGGCAGCCCTGCATGCCCGAGCATTGAGGAGAGGCTCCTCCACTTCACTCTCTCTACTGGAAGGAGCCTCTGGAGTTTCTGAAGGCCCTGGCTGAGTCTCTGTCTCTAGCATTACATCCTCTTCAGCCTCCTCGCTGTCGGATGTGAGTGCTGGCTGTGCAGGCTGCTGGCGCAACACCACACCAGCCTCCTCTTCATCGGGATCAGCCACGATCCACGCAGGCCGCTGGCAGGCCACAACAATGGTGTGCAGCTGGCCCTGAGATTTGCAGATTTAAATGTCCAAGTTAGGGAGCACTGGGTTATAACAGTGCTCTGCTGTCCCATGCAATCTTCACTTGTTCCTGCCTGGCACTCCAGTCTGAGTGGATACCTTGAAGCTGAACCCGGAGCCAAGAAATTAGAGCATGTGCAAAGAGGCCCTGGTTTACCAGCCCTTTTCTCCCAGCCTGCTCTTCCTTCTCATTTCACGGGTCTGAATCTGACCAAAATCCTCGGAGTCTTCTTTAACCAGATTTATTGAAGGGGAGACAGAGTTAGGTAGCAGAAATCTTGGCATATGGCTACAGGCAGTCCTTGACTTACGACCACAACTGAGCCCAAAATTTCTGTTGTTAAGTGAAACATTTGTTTTAGTGAACTTTGTCCCATTTTACAACCTTTCTTGCCACCGTTATTAAGTGAATCGCTGTTATTAAGTTAGTCACAGGGTGGTTAAGTGAATTGATTGATTTTGATCAATTCCTGATTGATTTTGCTGGCCAGAAGGTCGCAAGAGGGGATCACATGACCTCAGGACACTGCAATCGTCATAAATATGACTCAGTTGCCCAGCGTCCGAATTTTGATCTCGCGAGCATGGGGATAGTCATGAATGTGAAAATGCTCACAATTCACTGTTTTAAGTGCTGTTGTAACTTTGAATGGTCACTAAATGAATTGTTGTAGGTCAAGGACTGCTTGTACATTTCTTCTACATCCAAATTATTTCTCCATTCATTATGAAGGTTTCTTCCTGGGGGATTCACTGCCCTGTTTTCTTGCTAACGGAAGTAATAACTGCATATTCTATGCTCAGAATATTTGCAAAGGACCTGTTGTGACCCCGACTCCTGAGCCTGTCCTAACAGAGGAAGAGGACTCAGAAGGTGATGGGGAGGAACTGACAAGGCCTCCCTCTCCAGGACCCTCCTTTCTGGCAATGCCTCAGGTTCCATCCGAAGGCCAGGAGGAACAGCCTGGGATGTGCCAGGAGGAAGACATATCGGAGCACCAATTGATAGATTGCGAGGATGATGAATCCTGGCTTGATCCCAGGCAGCGTTGGAGGGAGAAGCGTGTGCAGCAATGGAAGAGGCATGGGAGGGCCAGAGATTGAGCTGAGTCATGGAGCCACACCCCACCAGGAATAAAAGTGGGTGGGATTGCTCTTCAGGCTTTGTGATGGACAAAGTTAAACCCTGAAAGTCACATCGTGATCTCTGAAATTCGGCTTGGATATATTTTGGACTGAACATTGACTGAACTCTTGTCTTGTGGATAATTTGTTGCTCCTGGAACGGATTGAAGATAAGTCCTCTTCTGCTTTGTGGGAGTGAAACCGGTCTTGGCAGGCATTCGGCAGTTTGCTGCCAAAACCTTGGTCTGCCAAGAATTCTAATCTGTTTACCTAATAAAATATTGGCAGGCGTGCTTGGTATTACGTTTGCCTGTGTGAGGAAGGGGGGACAGAACAGGACCATCCTGATTCCTAGGCACCAAGAAACCCACTGTCAGGCTTCTCCCGACTTGAGCATTCAGGAAAGAAAGACCCTCAACTCCAGTTCTGAAGTGACAAGATTATTTATACTAAAGTCAAGTGGTTACAGCATAAGCAAAGCTGGATCACAATATTCTGCACAAAGCGTGAAATTTTCCTTTCCCTGACCCTCCCCACTTGACCAGGCCATCAATGTCCAATGATATTCAGACTAGATGTTTTGAGGACGGCTTTAAGGTTTGGCGCCTCTTTGGTGGAGTTTCACATTCCATTTTCACAACTCTGTCCTTGATTGGTCGGTCTGCTCCAGATTGACAGCTTTGGTTCCTGTAACCCTGTCATTCCCCCCTCCTACCTCCCCAATCCTACTCTTTACTTCCCCAATCCTAAACTCCTAATTTAAGGGACATTTAATGAAAAGGCAGCCCTTTTATTTGGGGGCTTAAAATAAAGCGGCCAAGCACTCACCTGTTCCTATTCCTACAAAAAAATGAACAAAGAGGCTGAATTCAAAGCGCCGGAATATTCTATCAAAACACAAGATGGCAGACGAAAAAATACTAATTCCGTTGCTAATTAAGATGGCGGATTTTCTGAAAAGACACAGAAAGAGACATATTCAAGGAAACAGGAATCGCAAAAATCCTGGTTTGTATGTATGCCAATGTACGGCACCAATGCCAACAGAAACACCGGAAATTTAGCAATTTATTGTATATTCACAGCAGTGGTGGGTTGCCCCCGGTTCGGACCGGTTCGCAAGAACTGGTAGTAAAACCGGCGGGAGGCTCCGCCCACTGACCCCAACGTCATCAGCAAGCTTCTGCGCATGCGTTGCGAGCCAGTAGTAAAGGTAAGTAGAACCCACCCCGATCCACAGCCCAAAAATTTCTCTTTAAGATGTGCCTACTATACCTGCCATATCTGTCTGCCAGACAGCCCCAGAGATAAACCCCACAAACACCTCCGAGGGGGAAGAAACTGATGAGTAATAGTAAGAACTTCAAATACACGGGGTTTTCCTCGATTCCTTTCTTCTGAAGATTCAGCATCTGCATCCTTAACTTAAAAACATAAAGTGGAAAACCGCATCAAACACACGCAACGGTGCTACACTTCCTTCCCGACTGCCCCCCCTCCACCTCACCTAACAACCCTGCAAGGTAGGCTGGCCAAGCTGGCAGTCCCTAAGGAAAACCCAGGTCCTGAGTTACCCTTTGAAGGAATCTGGAGCAGAGGTGCTAAAGAAATTTATTTATTTATTTATTTTGGAAACTTTGGGAGATTTCTTCCTGTTTGCCCCTCCAATGTGTTTGACCGTCGGCCATTACGGTGAGCAGGTGAGAACTGCCGGATGGAAAACCACACTGGGGTTTTTTTTCTTGAAGGAAAACAAACCATGGTTTCCTCAAAGGTGCTTTTTTTTCCAAGAAGCAACTGGACTTCCTGGTTTTTCTTTGAAGACGTTTCTCTTCTCATCCAAGAAGCTTCTTCAGCTCTGATGGGATGGTGGGGAATGGAAGGATTTAGGTTCCTTGCAGATAGCTTTTAGAGAGCCATTGAGGGCACTTGGAGGGGATGGGAGGGAAGGGTAGGGAAGGGGAAGGGGAAGGGGAAGGGGAAAGGGAAGGGAAGGGGAAGGGAAGGGAAGAAAGAAGGAGAAAAAAAGGGAAGGGAAGTGGGAAAAGTGGAGGGGAGAGGACATGGCAGGAAACATCATTTGAAAACCCGATGGGATCCGTGTCCCATGAAAGACACTGGGCCCACACAAACCATCCTCCGCAACTGTAATGCAGGAAGGCAGGTTCTGTGAATGACTGCCAAATCCCAAACCCAGGACCACCCAGCGATACCCAGCGGGGCTCACTTACCACAACGGGATGAGTGATCAGGTTAAACATGTATCCATAGTGCAAATACGCCAAACTGGACCCCACTAATGAGATAATGAGTGGACGGGTCAGTTTCTATGAAAACAACAACAACTTCCTTCAGTGGATAAGGACAAAAACCAACACAACACTCAAAACCTCCTCTCTCCTTTCCCCCTTCCAGTTTCTGTCTTAGATAGGAAGAAGGCCGATCTCCTGCATGTGCTTTACTGTTAGGGGAAACTAATGTTTTTTCCCAAGTTAGTTTGGACTCCATGCATCTCCTGGTGGTGTCTCATCCACAAACAAGCCAGCTGAGCTTTAGGAGATTCCAAAGATTGCCTAGGCCCGTGATGGCGAACTTATGGCACGGGTGCCACAGGTGGCACACTGAGCCATATCAGTGGACACGCGAGCATTGCCGTAGCTCAGCTGCAGCACGCATGCGTGCGCTGGCCAGCTGATTTTTGGGCCTCCCGGTCCCACCGGAAGTTGGGAAATGGGCTGTTTCCGGCCTCTGGAGGGCCTCCGGGGGTGGGGTGGGGAAGGCTGTTTTTGCCCTCCCCAGGCTTCTAGAAAGCCTCCAGAGCCTGAGGAGGGTGAAAAACAGGCCTACCGGGCCCACTGTGCCATCACATGCTAAAAGTGTGGGGGGAGGCGTGGGGGTGGGGTATGGGCACGCATGTGGGTGACCCCCCCGCGATCCCCCGCTTTTGGCACGAACGGCAAAAAGGTTAGCCATCACTGGCCTAGGGGCTGCCATTTTTTTTTTGTTTTTTTAAATAAATACAGTTGAGAGCTGATCCTCTTCAGAAATCCTTCATAATTTCTCTGCCCTGCCTTGCCCTAAAGCTTAGAAATAACCTCCGGTCGAGATAAACCGCAACTCAACCAGCCTTCCAAACTCACATCATTTCGGATTGTGGGTTCCGATTCCTCTCTGTCCTCCATCCTTCCGGGGAGATGAAGGGGAACCCCTGATCGAACAAACAAACAAACAAACAAAAAAGCAAAGAAATCCGTGCCTTTGTTCATTCTTCCACCATATTTACAAACCATTCTCCCCCCCGAATCCAGCCAGGGAACCCACAAACTGTTCTCCTTGATGGCTCCTGTTCCGAGATAGACTGCGGTGGATCCGGGAGGCTCCATAGAGCCTGTAGCCAACGATGGACGGCTTTTCTCAAAGAGGGAAGTAAAGGAAAAGGGACAAACTTAAGCATCTTTTCTTTTGAACGTTGGCTTGAGAGCTTCCTGTTCAATTCCTAATTGTTGTAATAATCCCCCCAAAAATTGGCTGGCACCCTCCCTGACCCTCCACTGCTCCTCTGGAGGAATCCAGTCTTCCAGATTTTGGATTTTAAAGCTAGAAATGTTTTTTTTTAAAAGCCAACTTACTATTTTTGGGGGTGTCTTGGAGTAAAAGGAGAAAAACCAAAGCTGTCTTTTCTATCGAATGAAAAATTCTAGAGCAGCAGCGAGAGCCAATCAGGGAAAGGAGGCGGGAACATTCCGGGGAAAGCAGAATGGCAGTTAGGAAGCTGTTTTGCATAAATTTACATGCAGGGGATTCCACTTTCAGGGGTTGAAATTCCTGTCGCTAAGTGAGACTTTACGGGGGTTTTATGGGGGTAGCATTACATCTGTTTCTCACATCCTCACAAGGAGGCCGAAATAACGGATGACCAAATTTCAAATTCTGAGGGCTGATCTGTCACTCCATTCTCTATTTCTTTCCTTCCTTTTGTTTTGTTTTCTTGTATCCCTTCATTTTGTTTTGACATTTGGCCTCCTGTATCACATTTCTCTACCCTTTTGCTCCTGCATTGAAACCTGGCAAGGATTTACAGCAAGGCAATGCAGAACAAAATGTCAGGTCTGCCAGGCTCGGCTCGGCACCTCACAGGCGTACCGCCATCAAAGGCTAGAGGGTGCGGGGTAGGATAAGTGGGTAATAAAGATGTGTGTATGTACATGTTGGGAAATAGGAAGGAGGGAATGACAGGTGATAAAGAGTAGAAAAGCTCAGAATTGGTTTGCATCAGAATCCAAGGCCAGGCACCCTGAGAAAGAATGTGGAATACTTCAAAACATCTCAACGTTCTCAAAACACTTCAGCGAGTTCTGATTGGCTGAAGACAGACTGGTCATGTGGGGGAGGGCTGGGAAGAGGGGAAACCTGACTGTATATTTTGAGTGTGGGCAACCCAGATCTAGCCTGACTTAACTGCAGCTAGGCTCTCTTTAGTAAAAGAACCTTTTGCTTCAACCAAATGGAGTCGAGGGTCTCTCTTTCCTAAGGAATCAGATTGGGGCAGGTCTGACACAAAAGCTGTAATAAAAAGATTTACACTCAGTTTCACTTTCCTGGCATTTAAATTATTAATTTAGCCACATTTCTTTTTCTTGCAAAAGGAGATCTACTGATATAATAAAAGTTGGGAAGGAGCCTGGAGCTCTTCTAGTTCAACCCTGCTCAAGCAGGAGACCTTATACAATTTCAGACAAATGGACCTCCAATCTCTTCTTAAAAACCTCCGGTGATGAAGCACTTACAACTTCTGGAGGCAAGCTGTTCCACTGGTTAATTGTCCTCCCTGTTAGGAACTTTCTCCTTAATTCCAGGTTGCGTCTCTCTTTGATCAGTTTCCATCCATTGCTTCTTCCATCCATTGCTTCTTCCATCCATTGCTTCTTCCATCCAAAGCACTCTGCCGTCAGGTGTTTTGGAGGATAGCTTGACTCCCTGTTATTTGTGTCAACCCCTCAAATATTGGAACGTGGCTATCATCTCACTCATGCCCTCATCACCTCTCGTCTGGACTATTGTAACGCTCTCTACATGGGGCTCCCCTTGAGGTGCACTCGGAGGCTCCAACTGGCGCAGAGTGCGGCCGCGCCGGTGGTTATGGGAGCAACATGGAGTTCCCATGTAACACCTCTCCTGCGCGAGCTGCACTGGCTCCCTATGGTCTTCTGAGTGCGCTTCAAGGTTCTGGTTATCACCTTTAAAGCGCTCCATGGCTTAGGACCTGGTTATCTACGGAACCGCCTGCTACCACCAATAGCCTCCCACCGGCCAGTACGCTCCCATAGAGAGGGGCTCCTCCGGGTGCCGTCAGCCAAACAATGTCGACTGGCGGCCCTTAGGAGAGAGCCTTCTCTGTGGGGGCACCTACGATCTGGAACGAGCTCCCCCCGGAGATACGGAGGATCCCGGATCTGCGCACCTTCCGTCGCGCGCTTAAGACTTTTTTATTTCATCAAGCTGGCCTGGCCTAAATCTTCTCCCCTTTTAAATATAAATTTTAAATATAAATTTTAATTTGTTTTAAATTATGGGGTATTTTAAATTCAGCCAAATTATTTAATTCGTTTTTAATCTATTTTAAATTTTTGTATTTATGTGTTTTATCTTGTGGCTGTTCACCGCCCTGAGTCCTTCGGGAGAAGGGCGGTATAGAAATTTAATAAAATAAATAAATAAATAAATCTCACCCCTAGTCCTTCTTTTCATTAAACTAGACATGCCCAGTTCCTGCAACCGTTCTAGCCTCCAGTGTCCTAATCATCTTTGTTGCTCTTCTCTGTACTCTTTTCTAGAGCAAGGATGTGGTCAAATGAAATTGGTCAAACTCAATTTCATCGAGAGCCACATCAGGGTTGTGCTTGACCTCGGGCAGCTGGGTGTGTGTGGCCAGGTTGGGCATGGCCAGCTCGACGTCATTCGTGTGGGGGGGTTCCTGTGGCGGGTTGAGCACTCTGCCAGCAAAAACGGGCTCCCGAGCTCCGTTTTTGGCTGCGACGGCATCCTGCAACCCTCTGCTAGCACAAAGGAAGGTCAGGGGGGGGGCTGCACGCGGCCCTCGCACGCTCCATTTTCACTGGCAGAGGCACCGCGAGCCAGTCCTTTGCTGTTTTCTAGGGAGGCCCAATGGGCCAGATCTAAGCACCCCACGCGGCCTTGAGTTTGACAGCCTGTTCTAAAGTCTAAACATATTTCTTTTTAATATTGTAGTGACCAAAACTGGATGCAGCAGTATTCCAAGTGTGGTCTTACTAAGGCAAGGTAAGTATTTTGCAAGCAAAAAACAGCAGCAATACACTTCTTATAGAATGGGAGCTACACGCTGAATTCTTCCACTAATTTCCTCTAGAGAATCAAGAAAATCACCTTGGCAGAAATATAGAAGAATTATAGCTAAAAAGGACGGAAAAATTATTTTATGTCCTGGGGAATTAGATAATATTTGGAAGTGCCTCCCTAGTTCGCTGAAGCATCAGAACAACAGGGGATAAAGCACAATCAGTTTTGCGAGATATTCTTTTTATAGGTCATCTCAATAATGGATTTTTTTTTAGCCTTCCTGCAGGATCGACTTTCTGCTATTTGGCGTACCTGGGAGGGGTGACACCCCCAACAGCTCTGCTAAACTTACAACCCAATTTTTTTTTTTGCCAAACTAGCGGATAACGCTTAAAAATAATACAAACCAATCCATCCAGTTTCCAGAGAGTTTCTGATTTACTTCCTTTTTTAAAATTCCAGATCGATTTTGAAAACAGAGGGGAAGAAAGAGATTCCCTGTTTCTATTCAGCTGTTATTTTTCTGGAATTTCTGGAGATGCAGGCCGCCATGTTTTTCTGGATTTCTTGAAATGTCTTGCCGTTTGTTTCTGGGACTACCCGGAAAATGTAAATAAAGGCGAGGATCATAAAAGGCCAGTAAAGGAGCAAGTAGTAGGACTCAAGGTAGGACTAGAGACGGAAACGAAAAATTAAGAAATATTGTGATCAAACTTGGCAGGCCCACAAGTCACACAGAATTCCGCGAGAAGGTCACCTCTGTACTGAAAAACCAAAAAAATCCCCACGTAAACATTTTCTTAATGTATTTTATTTACTTTTTAAACTTCCAAAGGGTTTACAGGGTCCCTTACCTTAGTCAGAAGAAACAGCAAAGCTGAGAAAAAATGGATAGTCCAACTGACGAATCCTGCGATCGCATACGCGGAGGCTCGGGATGACTGGAGGAACAATTCACCGATAATCACGGGAATAATGGAAGCTGGATGGAGAGAAGAGGGTAGGCCTTGTAATTTTTTTTTTTTTAAAGCAACAACCGCAAAAACTTCATTTGGTTTTTCTCCACCTGCAAAGACTCCGTATCCTATCTGATCACAAACCTGGTCCCGTTATGTAGCCTACGAAGAAGATGAAAATCAGAATAATGCCGAGGACGGCCAACGCGGGTCTCTCTTTCTGTGGGGAAGAAGGAAGCGCCTTTGACCATCAAAGTAGTAATCGTTCCCCCCTCCCCCAACTTCACATCTTCAACCAACCTCCTATTTTCCATAGGGTTTGGGAACCCCATCTATAGAAAACTAGCATGAAGTCTATGAAATGGACGGATTGACGAAATTGACGGATTGACGAAATTGACAGATTGATAAAATTGACGAATTGGTAAAATTGACCGACTACAATGAAATTGAAAGATGGGTGCAGTTGACCAACTGAATGAAACTGACGGATTGACGAAATTGAAGGATTGATAAAATTGACAGATTGGTAAAATTGACCGACTACAATGAAATTGAAAGATGGGTGCAATTGACTAACTGAATGAAATTGACGGATTGGTGAAATTGATGGATTGGTGAAATTGATGGACGGGTGCAATGAACCAACTGGATGAAATTTAAGGGTTAGTGAAATTCACCAGCTAGATGAAATTCACAGATTGGTGAAATTGACCAACAGGACAAAATTGATGGATTGGTGAAATTGATGGATTGATGAAATTCACGGATTGGTGCAATTGACCAATGAGATGAAATTGACGAATTGGTGAAATTAAACAACTGGATAAAATTCACCAGACCCAATTTTAACTGGCTGGGAATGTTTGTGTGTGAGAAGAAACACAAGGAGGTTAACAGGAGGGACACTCACGTTGCCCTGGTGCAGAAAGCAGGAACAACGTAACCCACCTGAAGAATGAAGACTATGCCAATACTTGAGATGATACAAATCAAAAAGCCACTCAAAAGGAGAAATCTCCGCCCCAAGGAGTCAATGGTGCAGATCTAGAAAAAAAAAGCAGAGGATTGACACATCTGGAAGTTGGAGAAAAACTCCTGAGAAGACCATGGACAGCCAAGAACACAAACCAATGCATCATCAAACAAAGAAGCCCACAATTTTTCATTGAGGCTAAAATAATCCCGGACTTCGCTTTTGCTATCATGTTTTCACTAATTTGAACTGCTCCCTGCTTGTTCTATTGCTTTGGGCTACATCACCCTGCGTCGGTGGGTGCAGCTGAGAACACAAACAAGCCAGTAATCAAGTGGGGATACGAGGTGGCTTACTGTTCTGCCCCAGCTCCAGATTCCCGAGGATATAGACACACACCAACGGTCCTTAACAAATTTATTAAGTAGCAAGAATAAACCAAAGTCCGGCAAAGGTTGGCAACCAGCCCAGAAAGCAAGATAAGACTTTTCCAAAAATGCTCTGTTGATAATTGCAAGTTGTTTCTAGCAAGAAATTTACTAACGGCGTGTGACTTAAACAGGCTAAGGGAGTGGCCAATTATCCTCAAGCCTTACTCTCGAGGAGACCTCCTCCTCCTGAGTAGCCACTCCTGCCTTTTGGCAGCCCTGCGTGCTCGAGCATTGAGGAGAGGCTCCTCCACTTCACTCTCTCCACTTGAAGGAGCCTCTGGAGGTTCTGAAGGCCCTGGCTGAGTCTCTGCCTCTGGCACCACATCCTCTTCGGCCTCCTCGCTGTCTGACGTGAGTGCCAGCTGTGCAGGCTGCTGGCATGATACCACACCAGCCTCCTTGTCGTCAGGATCAGCCACAATCTGCGCAGGCCGCTGGCAGGCCACAACACTTACGGTTGTTAGAAGCATCAGCTGGATGACCACGCTTCCTACTAATGGAAGGAGCTTCATAGTTTTGTCAGACAGTTTTAAAGTTCTATAGTTCTGCTTGGCGAAAATTATAACCTGCAATCAAAGACAAAAGAGATGCAGATGGAGGGACACATAGGTTTTGGGTCAGGCTCCAAAAACCGCTGTTGCAATTCTTCTAACTACTGTAGATTCATCACTTGCAGACAGAATCTTGCCAAACTAAAGCACCATAAAGCTTAGACTCCGGGAGCTATTAAGGAGGAACCGTCCTCACCCTATTCCTCTCACACCAACTATCTCAACTGCGTTATCTCTTGCTTATCAGAAATGCAGCTCCTCCCTCCTGGGAATCCAGACTCCATTCCATCGAACTTTGTCCTTTTGTAAATTGTAACAGCTGCATCTCCACCTTCTGTTGTCCTGCAGCCCAGGAAGAATCTGGATGTGAATCCAGAAACTTTGTTCCTTGCTACAAGCCAGCAACTTGGCACTTTGAGGACGACCGAGACTCCAAATTTAAACCCTGGAAAAGCACATCCTTTCTATGCGAGGTTGCTCAGGGAAGTCACTAACCGCATTTGTTTGCATAAATCGACTTCCGACGATCAAGACCACGACGACGATGACATGCAACCGGAGGCTGCGGAAGCGAAAAAGTTTCGACACTGTCATGTTTTTCTGGCTGCTTTCGGCAAGGTGTTCCTGACGAAGTTCTTCCATCTCCTCCTCTACATCTTCTTCCCCTCTCAGCTTCTTCAAGACTAAAGGAGGAGGAAGAGGAGGGAAAGACAAGAATATCTACATTTGGAAGGAGCCACCAAGCCCTGCAGATCTGAAGGGCAGAAGCTGAGCTACAGGCCTGATCCTTTGGCCCAGACGAGCAGCTCGTAAAGCCGTAACGCCAGACTCAAAAAAACAAAACAAAACAAAAAAACTCGCGTACCTTCTCTTGCTTTCTCTTCATCATTCCTCTGCAAGTATAGAAACCTTGGACTTTCCGGAGAACGCACCAAAAATATACTATTAATTATAGCAAATATGGCTATAACGCCCATTAATAATGAGTAATCTGTGAGGGAGGGAGAGGGAGGGAGGGAGGGAGGGAGGGAGGGACGAAGAGAGAGAGAATGTTAGGAAGTTGCTGGCCACAATCTAGGTTTTAGAAGTAACCTTTCTCTTTTCTACTTCCTCTTCTCTTGCTTTCATCCTTCTGCTCTGGGACAATGGAAAGATACCCTCCCTGGCTTAACGTGACCTAAAGTTTGCAGCAAGGATGGAGGTGAAAATACTTACTTTCTTCGTTTCCCCAGATTTGGGGATTGGTTAAGATTTGAACCAGAAGGTATCCCCAGGTGATGAAGAGGAGCAAAGTGTTCACCAAGGCTCCCCTGAGATTCAAGGAAGAGATTTCAAGGATGTAGAGAGAGAAAGAGTAAGTAAATGTTCCTGTGGAATGAATTAAACATTGCATTATTATCACAGTTTGCATTCTAGTGAGTGCAGAATCTAGGAGTATTTGTGGTGCGCGGCTGGCCCTGAGATTATAACACAGGGAACACTGGAACATTGGACAGTGCTGTGCTGCCCAATGCAGTGGTGGGTTACTACAGGTTTGCCCCGGTAGCGGCGGCAATGGGAGGCTCCACCCACCTGCCTGGACGTCATCACAGATGGTCTGTGCGTGCGCAGAAGCGATGCGCCCACACAGAGCAAAGTAGCGAATGTAAGTGGAACCCATCCCTGGTCTAATGCAATCTTTGCTTGTTACTGTCTGACACTCTGGTTTGGGCTGATACCTTGAAGCTGATCCCAGAGCCAAGAAATTAGAGCAGTGATGTCAAACACAAGGCCTGCAGGCCGGATACAGCCTACGATGTGGTTTCTAGGGCCGTCCTAGAAAATGTAAGGGGCTGGCCAGCGTCGCTTCGGCCTGGGGTACCCAATGCAAAGAGGTGGGCCAGTGTGGCTTCGGCCCACTCTACCCAACGGAAAGAGGAAACATGCGAGCAGTTTGGAGAATGGCGTCAAGCTGGCCACGCCCCACCCAGTCAGCCACGCCCAGTGAGTGGCATCAATCTGGTGACGCTGAAGGGGAGAAAGAGTTAGGTTGCAGAAATCTTGGCAACTGGTTACAGGAAGTCCTTGACTTATGACCACGATGGAGCCCAAAATTTCTGTTGTTAAGTGAAATGTTTGTTAAGTGAGGTTTGCCCCCTTTTACGACCTTTCTCGCCGCAGTTATTAAGTGAATCGCTTCAGTTGTTAAGTTAGTCACAGGGCGGTTAAGTGAATCTGGCTTCCCCATTGATTTTGCTGGCCCGAAGGTCGCATGAGGGGATCATATGACCCTGGGACACTGCAACAGTCATAAATATGAGCCAGTTGCCAAGGGTCCAAATTCTGATATCATGAGCATGCTTCAATACTCATGAATGTCAAAATGGTCACAAGTCACCTTTTTCAATGCTGTTGTAACTTTAAATGGTCACTAAACCAACTATTGTAAGTCAAGGGCTACTTGTATAATTTCCTTATACATCCAAATTATTATTTATTAGGGAGATTTCTTCCTGATGGATTCACTGCCCTGTTTTCTTGCTAACGGAAGTAATAACTGCATATTCTACGCTCAGAATATTTGCAAAGGACCATCCTGATTCCTAGGCTCCAAGAAACCCACTGTCAGGCTTCTCCCGACTTGAGCCTTTAGGAAAGAAAGACCCTCAACTCCAGTTCTGAAGTGACAAGATTATTTTTACTAAAGCCAAGCGGTTACAGCATGAACGAATCTGGATCGCAATATTTCTGTACAAAGCCTGCTATTTTCCCGCTGCCCTGGACCTCCCCACTTGACCAGTCCATCAGTGTCCAATGATATTCAGACTAGATGTTTTGGGAACGGCTTTGAGGTTTGGCGCCTCTTTGGTGGAGTTTCACATTCCATTCTCACGACTCTGTCCTTGATTGATCAGTCTGCTCCAGACTGACAGCTTTGGTTCCTGTAACCCTGTCATCCCCCCTCCTACCTCCCCAATCCTACTCTTTATTTCTCCAATCCTTAACTCCTAAATTAAGGAACATTTAATGCAAAGGCAGAGTTCAGCCCTTTTATTTGGGGGCTTAAAATAAAGCGGTCAAGGACTCACCTGTTGCTATTCCTACAAAAAATCGAGCAAAGAAGCTGAATTCAAAGCGGTGGATTATTCTATCAAGACACAAGATGGCGGATGAAAAGAAACTAATCCCGTTGCTAATTAAGATGGCGGATTTTCTGAAAAGACACAGAAAGAGACACATTCCTTGTGTGTCCAATCACACTTGGCCAGAGAGAGAGAGAGACAGAGAGACAGAGAGACAGAAAGACAGAGACAGAGACAGAGAGACAGAGACAGAGAGAGAGACAGGGACAGAGAGAGACAGAGACAGAGAGACAGGGACAGAGAGAGACAGAGACAGAGAGACAGAGACAGAGAGAGAGACAGAGACAGAGAGATACCTGTTTCCCACAAAAAACACTGGGAGCCACAAAAGCTGGGTAGGCGTGGCTGGTGTGTGTGTCATGTGACTGGATGGGAGTGAGTGACATTGAGTTGGCCACACCCACCCAGCTTTTGTGGCTCCCGGTGTTTTCTTTTCTGTGGGAAAAGGGTCCAAATGGCTCTTTGAGTGTTTAAGGTTGCAGACCCCTGGGATAGGTTGAGCAGGGGGTCGAACTAGAAAACCTGCAAGGTCTCTTCCAGCTCTGTCATTCTGTCATTTATTAAATATTTAATTTAAACACAGCTCCTGTTAATCTTGGTTAATTTAAACTTTGGTTCTCTTTTCAGTGGACCAAATTCTGTTCTCTGGGGATTAGGAGCTAAGTGGGTACTCAGAAAAGAGCTTCAATTTATACGGCAATGTATGGCACCAATGCCAACAGAAACACCCGAAATTTGGTACTTTATTGTATATCCACCGCTCAGAAATTCTGCCTACTATACCTGCCATATCTGTCTGCTAGATAGCCCCAAAGAAGCACTCCAAACAGGCCTCCGAGCGGGACGAAAATGGGGAGTAATAGTAAGAACTTGAAACGCACGGGGTCTTTCTCGATTTCGGCGTTCTGAGGAATCATAAACTGCATCTTCACCTTAAAAACATAAAATTGTAAAACCGCATCAAGCACACGTAACTGTGCTGCACTTCCTTCCCGGATGCCCCCCCCTCCACCTCACCTAACAACCCTGCGAGGTAGGCTGGCTAAGATGACAGTCCCTAAGGAAAACCCAGGTCCTGAGTTACCCTTTGAAGGAATCTGGAGCAGAGGTGCTAAAGGAAATTTATTTATTTATTTATTTTGGAAACTTGGGGAGATTTCCTCCTGTTTGCCCCTCCAATGTGTTTGACCATCGGCCATTACGGTGAGCAGGTGAGATCTGCCGAATGGAAAACCACACTGGGGGGTTTTTTCCTTGAAGGAAAACAAACCATGGTTTCCTCAAAGGTGTTTTTTTTTTCAAGAAGCAACTGGACTTCCTGTTTTTTCTTTGAAGATGTTTCTCTTCTCATCCAAGAAGCTTCTTCAGCTCTGACTGGATGATGGGGAATAATGGAAGGATTTAGGTCCCTTGCAGACTGCTAGTCATTTGCATCCTTCTAGAAAGCCGTTGAGGCCACTTGGAGGTTGATCTGTGTCCTGAGTGGTGCAAATGGGGGTGGAGCCTTCTTGGACCTGCTGACCTGCTACGACTGTGTTGTAGACTGAAGATAGATGATGTCATATCCTTCCTTCTCTGTTGACGGAGAGCTGTTCAATTTTGACATAGATGGTTCCTTGGACCCAGGGGTAAAATCCAAATTTTTTCCTTACCGGTTCTGTGGGCGTGGCTTGGTGGGCATGTCAGGGGAAGGATACTGCAAAATCCCCATTCCCTCCCCACTCCTGGGGGAAGAATATTGCAAAATCTCCATTCCCGCCCCACTCTGGGGCCAGCCGGAGGTGGTATTTGCCGGTTCTCCGAACTACTCAAAATTTCCGCTGCCGGTTCTCCAGAACCTGTCAGAACCTGCTGGATTTCACCCCTGCTTTGACGCCTCTGGTGGTCCTCTCTGTCCAAAATGTGCTGTCTTCAAAAGAGTGACGTTTGTCTTTTTAATGCAGATCGACAAGGGAGGAGAGGGATGGGAAGGGAAAGGAAGGGAAAGGGAAAGGGAAAAAGGAAGGGGGGGAAGTGGGGGGAGAGGACAGGGCAGGCAATACTATTTTGAAAACCTGATGGGGTGGGATCAGCCAGCATCCGTGTGCCATGAAAGACACTAGGCCCGTGTTGGCGAACCTATGGCACGGGTGCCACAGGTGGCACGCGGAGCCATATTGGTGGGCACGCTAGTGTTGCCCTAGCTCAGCTCCAGTGCGCACTAGCCAACTGATTTTCAGGCCTTCCGGTCCCACCGGAAGTCGGGAAACTGGCTGTTTCCGGCCTCCAGAAGGCCTCCAGGGAGATGGGGAAGGCTGTTTTTGCCCTCCCCAGGCTCCTAGAAAGCCTCTGGAGCCTGGGGAGGGGGGAAAAACGGGCCTACTGGGCCCACCGTGCCATCGCGTGCCAAACGCAGGGGGAAATGTTGGGGGGGTCATGTGTGCATGCACGGGAGGGCGGGGCGCATTGAATTATGGATGTGGGCACCCGCACCTGCGATCCCCCACGCGACCCCCACTTTTGGCACGCGACGGCAAAAAGGTTAGCCATCACTGCACTAGGCCCACACAGAGCAAATTCAGCAACCCGAACAAGTTGTGTGAATCACTGCCAAGCCCCAACCCAAGGCCACCCAGTGGCACTCAGCAGGGCTCACTTACCACAATGGGATTGGTGATGAGATAGGACATGTATCCATACTGGAAAGCCCCAAAACTGGACCCCACTACTGAGAGAAAGAGTGGACCGGTCAGTTTCTATGAGAAAGTGCAGGAGGAGGAAAACAACAACACAATTCCTTCAGTGGAAAGGACAAAAACCAACACAACACATCTAAGACCTCCCCTCTCCTTTCCCCCTTCCAGTTTCTGCCTTAGATGGGAAGAAGGCTGATCTTCTGCATGGGCTTTTCTGTTAGGGGAAACCAGTGGTGGGATTCAAATAATTTAACAACCAGTTCTCTGCCCTAATGACCAGCTGGGTAGGCGTGGCTCAGTGGTCATGTGACCATGTGGGCGTGACCGACTCAACGTCACTCGTGCGACTGACGATAATCGCATGATCAGCGCTTCGCCTTAGCTGTTACAATGTAATAAGGGTTAACCCAAGAGGCAGTTTCTGTAAGCAGGGCAATAAAGATTAGGCTACAGACAACGCCAGAATGTTTCCTTCCTGCCTTCCTTACAGGATTAGCCCTGTAAAGTGGGAAAAAAAAAAAAGGAGATTTCTTCCAACAACCGGTTCTCCGAACTGCTTAGAAATAGGTGCAAACTGGCTGAATCCCGCCACTGCGGGAAACTAATGATTTTCCCCAAGTTAGTTTGGACCCCATGCATCTCCTGGTGGTGTCTCATCCACAAACAAGCCAGCTGAGCTTTAGGAGATTCCAAAGATTGCCTAGGCCCTGCCATTTAAAAAATAAATAAATACAGTTGAGAGCTGATCCTCTTCAGAAATCCTTTATCATTTCTCTGCCCTGCCTTGCCCTAAAGCTTAGAAATAACCACCGATCAAGATAAACCACAATTCAAGCAGCCCTCCAAACTCACATCATCTTGGATTGTGGGTTCCGATTCCTCTTTGTCCTCCATCCTTCCGGGGAGATGAAGGAAAAACCCCTGATCGGACAAAAACAAAACAAAAAAGCAAAAAAGTCAGTGCCTTTGTTTATTCTTCCACCATATTTACAAACCATTCTCCGCCACAAATTCAGTCAGAGAACCTCCACAAACTGCTCTCCCTGGTGACTCCTGTCCACTTCCAAGATAGACTGCGGCGGATCAGGGAGGCTCCATAGCTTTTCTCAAAGAGGAAAGGTTTCTCAAAGAAACCTAAAAAGGTTTCTCCCCATCTTTTCTTTTGAACGTTGGCTTGAGAGCTTCCTGTTCAATTCCTAATTGTTGTAATAAATCCCCAAAAAAATTGGCCGGCACCCTCCCTGACCCTCCACTGCTCCTCTGGAGTCTTCCAGATTTTGGATTTTAAGGGTAGAAAAAATGTTTTGTTTTTTTTTTAAAAAGCCAACTTACTGTCTTGGAGTAAAAAGGAGAAAAACCACAGCTGTCTTTTCTTTAGAAGGGAAAATTCTGGAGCAGCAGCAAGAGCCAATCAGGGAAAGGAGGCGGGAACATTCCGGGAAAAGCAGAATGGCAGTTAGGCGGCTGTTTTGCATAAATTTACATCCAGGAGGTTCCACCTTCAGGGGTTGAAATTCCTGTTGCTAAGCGAGACTTTTGTTAAGTGAAGTTCGCGCCAATTTGCGACCTTTCTTGCTACAGTTGTTAAGTGAATCGCTACAGTTGAATAAGTTAGTTCCACGGTTGTTAAGTGAATCTGGCTTCCCCATTGACTTTGTTTGTCAGAAGGTCGCAAAAGGGGTTCACGTGACTCCACGACTAGGGGCTAGCCTGAGGGAGAGCAGGGGAGAGGAGAGGCTTCTATGGGGCTAGCCTGAGGGAGAGAAGGGAGATAGGATAAGAGAGGCTTCTATGGGGCTAGCCTGAGGGAGAGAAGGGGATAGGATAGGAGAGGCTTCTATGGGGCTAGCCTGAGGGAGAGAAGGGGATAGGATAGGAGAGGCTTCTATGGGGCTAGCCTGAGGGAGAGAAGGGAGATAGGATAGGAGAGGCTTCTATGGGGCTAGCCTGAGGGAGAGAAGGGAGATAGGAGAGGAGAGGCTTCTATGGGGCTAGCCTGAGGGAGAGAAGGGAGATAGGATAGGAGAGGCTTCTATGGGGCTAGCCTGAGGGAGAGAAGGGGATAGGATAGGAGAGGCTTCTATGGGGCTAGCCTGAGGGAGAGAAGGGAGATAGGATAGGAGAGGCTTCTATGGGGCTAGCCTGAGGGAGAGAAGGGAGATAGGATAGGAGAGGCTTCTATGGGGCTAGCCTGAGGGAGAGAAGGGGATAGGATAGGAGAGGCTTCTATGGGGCTAGCCTGAGGGAGAGAAGGGAGATGGGATAGGAGAGCTTTAATTTTATGCGGGATTTCTTCCCTGGCCAAATAAATTTTAATATTATTTTAATTCTTCAAAAAAAGAAATTCCCTAATTTTATCAGTACTGTTTGGAGGAGAAACAAGATTTTAGGTAATATATTCATTTTAATTGTGGCAATTCTTCCAATTAGTGATTTAGTTGTTTTTTCTCCCCTAATTGTCCAAATCTTTTTGTATTTGTTGTACTAATTTATTATAATTGTCCTCTTTTATAGTAGAGCATTTCGCCATCAACCAAATTCCAAGATATTTCACTTTCTTAGCTGTCTGAATCCCCAATTTCTCCTCCAATTCCTCTTTCTGACTAGTGGTAAAGTTCTTTGTTAGTATCTTTGTTTTGTCTTTATTTATTTTAAGCCCTGCTACTTTGCCGAATTCTTCTATTGCTTGTATTAGTGTAATTCCTGTCTCTAATGGATCTGAATAAGAGGGGGGATAGAGGGCATCCCTGTCTTTCCCCTTTAGCTATATTAAACTTGTCTGTTGTTTCTCCGTTCAGTATTATTTTTGCTGTTTGGGTGGAATATATCACCCTAATCATCCCTATAATTTTTTCTACAAAATTCATAATATTTAGTTGATTAATGAGGAATTTCCAGTTTAAGTTATCGAATGCTTTTTCTGCGTCCACAAATATCACTGCCACTTGTTTCTCCGGATGGGCCTCCTAATATTCCAACACATTAATTATTATCCTTGTATTATTTCTTAGGTGCCTTTTTGGCAAGAATCCATTTTGATCGGAATGGATGATTTCATTTGGTTTTTTTTTTTTTTAACTCTTTCCGCAATTATTGTGACAAATATTTTGTAATCGGCATTTAATAACGAGGTTGGCCTGTAGTTTTTAATTTGCTGATTATCTGTATTCTCTTTTGGTATAAGCGAAATAAATGCCTCTGTCCATGAGTTTGGTAGTCTTACTTGTTATAGTGCTTCATTATACAAGTCCAACATTACTATCTCCAATGGCTTTAAATTAAATATCTCCCTAGCCTGAGGGAGAGAAGGGGAATGAAATAGGAGAGGATTCTGTGAGGCTAGCCTGAGGGAGAGAAGGGGGATGGGATAGGAGAGGCTTCTGTGGGGCTAGCCTGAGGGAGAGTAGGGGGATGGGATAGGAGAGGCTTCTGTGAGGCTAGCCTGAGGGAGAGAAGGGGAATGAAATAGGAGAGGATTCTGTGAGACTAGCCTGAGGGAGAGTAGGGGGATGGGATAGGAGAGGCTTCTGTGAGGCTAGCCTGAGGGAGAGAAGGGGAATGAAATAGGAGAGGCTTCTGTGGGCTAGCCTGAGGGAGAGTAGGGGGATGGGATAGGAGAGGCTTCTGTGAGGCTAGCCTGAGGGAGAGAAGGGGAATGAAATAGGAGAGGATTCTGTGAGGCTAGCCTGAGGGAGAGAAGGGGGATGGGATAGGAGAGGCTTCTGTGGGGCTAGCCTGAGGGAGAGAAGGGGGATGGGATAGGAGAGGCTTCTGTGAGGCTAGCCTGAGGGAGTGAAGGGGGATGGGATAGGAGAGGCTTCTGTGGGGCTAGCCTGAGGGAGAGAAGGCGGATGGGATAGGAGAGGCTTCTGTGGGGCTAGCCTGAGGGAGAAAAGGAGATAGGAGAGAAAAGGCTTCTGGTGGGCAAGCAGAGGAATCCACGAAGGAACAAACATGGTGGAAGGGGAGCTCAGCAGGCAATTCAAGAGAGGGAGGGAGGGAGAAGGAGAGAAGAGAGGGGGGGAGAGGGAGAGGGAGAGAGAAAGGAAGAAGGGCCGACCAGCTACCTGAATACCATCTCATCATGTGACCCACTAGCTGGGAAAAGACTGACCATCACCTCACCACGTGACCTGCCTACCGAGAGAAGACTGACCACCACGACACTACATGACCCAGGCCAATAGAGGTGCCTGAGTGAGGGACCAGTATGGACCGGCCAAGAGAACCCCAGACTCCAACGGCCCTTACGGGGGTAGCACTACATCTGTTTCTCATGTCCTCACAAGGAGGCCGAAATAACGGATGACCAAATTTCAAATTCTGAGGGCTGATCTGTCACTCCATTTTCTATTCCTTTCCTTTCCCTTTGTTTTATTTTCTTGTATCACTTCATTTTGTTTTGACATTTGGCCTCCTGTATCACATTTCTCTACCCTTTTGCTCCTGCATTGAAACCTGGCAAGGATTTACAGCAAGGCAATGCAGAACAAAATGTCAGGTCTGCCAGGCTCGGCTCGGCGCCTCACAGGCGTACTACCATCAAAGGCTAGAAGGTTGCGGGGTAGGATAAATGGGTAATAAAGATGTGTGTATGTACATGTTGGGAAATAGGAAGGAGGGAACAACAAGTGATAAAGAGCAGAGAAGCTTGGAACTGGTTTGCATCAGAATCCAAGGTCAGGCACCCCGAGAAAGAAAGTGGATTACCACAAAACTTCTCAGAGTCCTCAAAACACTTCAGTGAGCTTTGATTGGCTGAAGATGGACTGGTTATAGGGGAGGACTGGGATGTGGGGAAACCTTTCTGCATCTTTTGAGCGCAGGAACCCAGATCTAGCCTGACTTTACTGCAGCTAACATCTTTTTAGTAAAAGACCTTTTGCTTCCATCAAATGGAATCGAGGGTCTCTCTTTCCTAAGGGATCAGATTGGGGCAGGTCTGACACAAAAGCTGTAATAAAAGATTACATTCAGGTTTACTTTCCTCTTCTTAGAAACCTCCAGTGAAGAAGCACTTACAACTTCTGAAGGCAAGCTGTTCTACAGATTATTTGTCCTCCCTGTTAGAAAGTTTCACCTTAATTCCAGGCTGCTTCGCTCCTTAATTAGTTTCCATCCATTGCTTCTTGTCTTGCTTTTTGGTGCTTTGGAGAATAAGTTGACTCCTTGTTATTTGTATCAACCCCTCAAATATTGGGGGGTTGATACAGCTATCATCTCACCCCTAGTCCTTCCTTTCATTAACCCAATTCCTGCAACCGTTCTTCATATGTTTTAGCCTCCAATCTCCTGATCCTCTTTGTTGCTCTCCTCTGCACTCTTTCTAGAGTTTCTACAATTTTTAAATATTATAGTGACCAAAACTGGTTGCAGTATTTCAAGTGGAAAAAATATTTTATATCCTGGGGAATAAGATATTTGAAAGTGCCTTCCTGGTTCATTGGAGCATCAGAACAACAGGGGATAAAGCACAATCAGGGTTGCGAGAGATTCTTTTTATAGCTAATCTCAATAATGGAATTTTTTTTTTTTAGCCTTCGTAATGGATTGATTTTCTGTTTTGGCCTACCTCGCAGGGCTGACACCCCCCCCCCAACGCTCTGCTCACACAGCTCTGCTAAACTTACAACTTTTTTTTGCCAAATTACTGGATAGGAGTTAAAAACAGTACAAATTAATCCATCCAGCTTGAAGAGAACTTCTGTTTTACTTCATTTTTTAATTCCAGATCAATTTTGAAAACAGAGGGGAAGAAAGAGATTCCTGTTTCTATTCAGCTGCTATTTTTCTGGAATTTCTGGAGATGCAGGCCGCCATGTTTTCCTGGATTTCTTGAAATGTCTTGCCGCTCGTTTCCGGGACTACCCGGAAAATGTAAATAAAGGCGAGGATCATAAAAGGCCAGTAAAGGAGCAAGTAGTAGGACTCAAGGTAGGACTAGAGACGGAAACAAAAATTAAGAAATATTGTGATCAAACTTGACAGGTCCACAAGTCACACAGAATTCCGCGGGAAGGTCAGCTCTGTACTGAAAAAAAAATCCCCACAGAGTTTTTAAATAAACATTTTCTTAATATATTTTAATCTACTTTTTAAACTTCCAAAGAGATTACAGGGTCCCTTACATTAGTCAGAAGAAACAGCAAAGCTGACAAAAAATTGATTCCCCAACTGATGAATCCTGCAATCACATATGCGGACGCTCGGGATGACTGGAGGAACAATTCACCGATAATCACGGGAAGAACGGAAGCTGGATGGAGAGAAGAGGGCAGGCCTTGTAATTTTTTTTTTTTTAAAGCAACAACCGCAAAAACTTCCCTTGGTCTTTCTCCACCTGCGAAGACTCCATATCCCATCTGATCACAAACCTGGCCCCATTACGTAGCCCACGAAGAAGAGGAAAATCAGAATAATGCTGAGGATGGCCAGCGCGGGGCTGTCGTTCTGTGGGAAAAAAGGAAGCACCTGTGGGGTGACCATCAAAGTAGCAACCCTTCCCCCCTCCCACAATTTCATTTCTTCAACCGATCTTCTACATGGGATCCCCATGTAGAGAAAACTGGCATTAACTCTTATGAAATTGAGCAACAGGACTAAATTGATGGATTGATGAAATTGACGGTTGGTGCAAATGACAAACTGGCTGAAATTGACGGATTGGTGAAATTGACCAACTGGATGAAACTGATGGATTGGGTGAAATTGATGGAATGGTTAAATTGACCAACTGGATGAAACTGATGGATTGGGTGAAATTGATGGAGTGGCGAAATTGACCAACTGGATCAATTTTAACTAGCTGGGAAGGCTTGTGTGTGAGAAAAACCACAGGCAGGTTAACAAGGGGGAACTCAAATTGTCCCAGTGCAGAGAGCAGGAATGTTACCCACCTTAAAAATGAAGACTAGGGCAATATTTGAGATGATACATATCATGAAGCCACTCAAAATGAGTAACCTCCGCCCAAAGGGCTCGATGGTGCAGATCTAGAAAAAAAGCAAAGAGGATTGACGCTTTTTGACAGCCAAGAACACAAACCAATGCATCATCAAACAAAGGAGCCCACAATTTTTCATCGAGGCTAAAATGATCCTGGTCTTCGCTTTTGCTATCGTGTTTTCGCTAATTTGAACTGCTCCCTGCTGGTTCTATTGCTTTGGGCTACATCACCCTACGACGGTGGGTGCAGCTGAGAACACAAACGAGCCAGTAATCAAGTGGCAATTCGAGGTGGCTTACGGTTGTCAGAAGCATCATCTGGATGACCACGCTTCCTACTAATGGAAGGAGCTTCATAGTTTTGGCAGACAGTTTTAAAGTTTGAAAGCTCTGCTGTGCAAAAAATAAAACCTGCAATCAAAGATAAAAGGGATCAGATGGAGGCACACGTAGAACTTGGGTCAGGCTCCAAAAATCTTTATTGAAATTCTTCTAAGTAGATTTATCACCTGCAGACAGAATCTTGCCAAATTATACCAGACAATTGCACCATAAAGCTTAGACTCTGGGAACTATTAAGGAGGAACCGTCTTCACCCTATTTCTCTCACAGCAACAATCTCAACTGCATTGTCTCTTGCTTCTCTGGAATGCAGCTCCCCCCTCCTGGGAATCGAGACCACATTCCATCACAGTTTGCCCTTTTGTAAAACTTTAACAGCTGCCTCTCCACCCCTCTGTTGCCCTGCAGCCCAGGAAGAGTCTGGATATGGATCCAGAAATGTGGTTCCTGGCTACAAGCCAGCGTTCGGCACTTTGGGGAAGGACAGAGACTCCAAATTTGAACTGTGCAAAAGCAAATCCTACGTGAGATTGCTCGGGGACGTGACTAACCGCGTTTGTTTGTATAAATCGACTTCCGGAGACCAAGACCGCGACAGTGATGACATGCCACCGGAGGCTGCGGAAGCGAAGAAGTTCCCACACTGTCATGTTCTTCCGGTTGCTTTCGGCAAAGTGTTCCTGACGGAGTTCTTCCATTTCCTCCTCCACGTCTTCTTCCCCTCTCAGTTTCTTCAAAACTAAAGGAGGAGGAAGAGAAGACAAGAACACATACAAAGGGGCTACATTTGAAAGGAGCTTCCAAGCCTTGCATATCCAAAGGGCAGAAGCTGGGCTACAGGCCTGATCCTCCCTTTGGCCCATGTTGTGGCCTGCCAGCGGCCCGCAGAGCTGGCAGCAGATTCGGACAGTGAGGAGGTTGGGGAGGAACGTGGGCCAGTCCTGGAGTCTGGGGATGGCTCGGATGAGGGCTCTGCGTTGGAGGCAGAGAGGGGGCCCAGGCCATCTGGTAGTTCTTTGCTGCCTCCAGAGTCTGACATCAGCGAGGCTGAAGAACAGCGGGTGCCTGTTTCCAGTGAGTGCATGCGCAGAGCTGCCAGGAGGCAGGAACAATTAAGAAAACAGGGTTGACTCGGGAGTAAGGCTTGGAGGTGATTGGCCCCTCCCATAAGATATAAAAGAGGAGTGAACGGGACGTGAGCTTTTGCAGGAAGCAATTCGTTCATCTGGTCGGTAAAAGCTTTGGAAAAGTTCTGTTTGACTCTGTGCTAAGTTTGGCCTTGCCCTGCATGTGGCAATTAGCTCTCTGGCAGCATTCCAAGGGAGATAAGGTGGGTGTTTGTAAACACTCCCCTGCAAGGCTGTTTGAAAAGCCTTTCGGACTGGGAATGACAATAATTCACAGCCGTATGAATTAAAGAGGTTTGCCGGGACTAAGATTGTGCTGTACACTTTCTAAGGAAGCCTAGTTCAGAACAGCTCAGATGAGCGGCTCATAAGGCCGTAAAGCCAGACTTGTGTGGCCGTACCTTCTCTTGCTTTCTCTTCGTCATTCCTCTGCAAGTACAGAAACCTCGGACTTTCGGGACAAGGCACCAACAATATACTACTAATTATAGCAAATATGGCTGCAACGCCCACTAATAATGAAAAACCTGTGGCAGAGAGAGAGAGGGAAGGAGGGAGAACATTAGGAATCCTACTACATGTTTTAGAAGTAACCTTTCTCTTTTCTACTTCCTCTTCTCTTACTTTGATTCTTCTGCGCTGGGACTTTTTGACACTGGAAAGATACCCTCCCTGGCTTAGCACAACTTAAAGTTTGCAGCAAGCTAGGATGGAGGTGGAAATACTTACTTTCTTCGTTTCCCCAGATCTGGGGACTGGTTAAGATTTGGACCAGAATGTATCCCCAGATGAAGAAGAGAACCAAAGTTGTTACTAAGGTTCCCCTTTGATTCAAGGAAGAGATTTCAAGGATGTAGAGAGAGACAGAGTAATTAAGAGTTCCTGTGGAATAAATTGAAAATTACATTTCAGACCCAGCTTGCATTCTAGCAAGTGCAGAATTTAGGTGTGTGGTGGCCCTGAGATTTGCAAATTTAAGTCTCCAATTTAGGGGACATTGGGTTATAACAGTGCTGTGCTGTCCCATGCAATCTTCACTTGTTCCTGCTTGGCCCGTCCGATTTGAGCTGATACCTTGAAGCTGAACCCGGAGCCAAGAAATGAGAGTATGTGCAATGAGGTTTACCAACCCTTTTCTCCCAGCCTGCTCTCCCGTCTCATTTCACGGGTATGAATCTGACTGCCTAATATCCTCGACTAAAATCCTCGGAGTCTTCTTTAACCAGATTTATTGAAGGGGAGAGAGAGTTAGGTTGCAGAAATCTTGGCACGTGGAACATTTAATGCAAAGGTAGAGTTCGGCCCTTTTATTTGGGGGTTTAAGATAAAGCAGTCAAGGACTCACCTGATGCTATTCCTACAAAAAAACGAGCGAAGAGGCTGAATTCAAAGCGCTGGAATATTTTATCAAAACACAAGATGGCAGCTGAAAAAATACTAATTACGTTGCTAATTAAGATGGCAGATTTTCTGAAAAGACACGGAAAGAGACACATTCAAGGAAACAGGAATTGCAAAAATGCTAATTTTTTTTTTTAATCCTGAACGACCAACAGCATCCTGATTGTCTTTTTTTAAAGGAGCAATTTGTCCCTGGAATTGCAGGAGATTATGCAAAACCCAAAAAACTTATGGTCTGTAAATTTCTATTGTTTCTGTGCTGACTGCATTCCTGCGGTTTTGTTATCGCAACTAAGTATTTGCCTGTTAAATGGTTCTGCCCAGAGCTATTAACTGAAGGGAGAGAGAAGGGGAAAAAACCCCCCTCTCTTTCACTTTATTTCTCCCCCTGAGTTTGAAAGAGGCTAGATTTTTTTCTGCTGAGGAAATGAGGAGCTCACATGTGTACAGTAACGAGTGGTGAAATGCAGGGTTTTTTTGCTACTGGTTCTGTGGGTGTGGCTTGGTGGGCGTGGCTTGGTGGGGAGGTGTCATGTGACTGGGTGGGCATGTCCAACTTTTTATTTTACTTCTTAAAGTATTTTGTACTCCCTATCGTCGGAGCCTTTTTTTCTTTTTTTTTTTTAGTTTTTAAAGCATTTTCTACTACTGGCTTGCCTGAACTGGTAGTTTTTATCACTACCAATTTGCCCGAACCAGAGCGAACTGGTAGCATTTCACCCCTGGCTGTAACCAACCAGATCAGAGGTGGGTTTCAGCAGGTTCTGACCAGTTCTGGAGAACCGGTAGCAGAAATTTTGAGTAGTTCGGAGAACCGGTAGTAAAAATTCTGACTGCCCCCCGCCCATCTGTTCTCTGCCTCCCGAGTCCCAGCTGATTGGGAGCAAATGGGGATTTGTAGTAACTCTTCACCCTGGATTGGGGAGGGAATGAAGATTTTCCCCACCACCCCGAAGACCAGAAACAGCCCATTTACCAACTTCCAGTGGGCCCGGAAGGCCCGAAAATCAGCTGGAGGTTGGACTAGAAGACCACCAAGGTCCCTTCCAACTCTGTTATTGTTATTATTATCCATCATTTGTCTCAAGTGGTATAGTGTCTCTTGCTTGAATTGGACTAAAAGTCTCTTCCAGCTCTCTTTTTCTGTCATTTATTGAATATTTATTTAAACACAGCCCCTGTTAATCTTGGTGTCAAGTTTCCAAAAGATGCCCTAATTAGTTCATGAGCCATAATCCACACTTCAAAGGAAATATATTCATTTATTAGGAGCAACATTCCGGCAATACTCGGATGCAGTTAGGACTGATCCCACGTAGATTTACGTTCCCCTATGTCCCTGTCTCTCCCCTCCTCTCTGGCCATGTCATAAATCACATTCTCCAATTAACCACTTTGGCTGGCTGTGAAACCTAACACCCTCCTTCTGACTGCAGTCAGAAAGAATGTATGGAATTCACTTCAGTTCTCCCTCCCTCCTGCTCATGGCAACTTGAAAGCTTTGCAAGTTGACACTTGGTTAATTTAAATTTTGGTTTCGTTTTCAGTGGATCGATCGATTTGATGCTCTGGATGTTCGGAGCTAAGTGGGGACTCAGGAAAGGGGTTAACTTTACATGCCAATGTATGGCACCAATGCCATAGAAACATAGGATATTTGGTATTTTATTGTATATACACAGCCCAGAAATTCTCTTTAAGATGTGCCTACTATACCTGCCATATTTGTCTGCCAGATAACCCCAGAGATACACTCCCAAAAGACCTCCAAGAGGGATGAAAATGGTAAGTAATATTAAGAACTTGAAACGCACAGCTTCTTCCTTCAATCCTTCCTCCTGAAGATTCAGCAACTGAATCTTTACCTTAAAAACATAAATGGGAAAACCGCATCAAGAAAACACTTAACTGTGTTGCACTTCCTTCCCAGCTGCCTCCCTCCACCTCACCTAACCTCCCTGCGAGGTAGGCTGGCCAAGCTGGCAATCCCTAAGGAAAATCCAGATCCTGAAGGAATCTGGAGCAGAGATGCTAAAGAAATATATTTATTTTTTGGGGAAAAACTTTGGGACATTTCCTCCTGTTCCTCCTCCAAGCAATGTGTTCTGTCCCCGTCTCACACACGCACACAAACAGACATCCGGGGGTTAAATAAACTGGCAGACAACCAATTCTTCCGATAAGAAGCTTGGCAGCAACCCAGTCGCTGCTTGCCAAGAACTTTACTCATAAACAAAATACACACAGTCAAGAATTGTCCAGTTCGTAAAATAAATCCAAAGCCGATAATGTTGTTTCCAAAGATGCAATGTGACTCGATAGTAGTTAGTTTTGTCCGTCACAGAGTCTGAATGGCCACCTCACCCCCTTTTATACCCTGTGGGGTGTGGTCCAATGACTCAGCTTAATCTCTGGCACGCCTTTTCTTCTGTTGCGCGCGCTTATCTCTGCGACGCTGCCGAGGATCCAGCCAAGACTCATTTCCCTCATCACTGTCCACCTGTGGCTGCGTGGACGTGCTTGGCCCCGGCCCTATCTCTTGTCCTTCGGTGGACACCGAAGGCATTGCCAGAGAGGAGGATCCTGGAGAGGGAGGCCTTGCCAACGCCTCTCCTTCACTCTTGGAGTCCTCTCCTGCCGATGGAGGAGAGGCTCAGGTAACGGAGCCACAACACAATGTGTTTGACCATCGGCCATTATGGTGGGCAGGTGAGATAACCACACTGAGTTTTTTTCTTGAAGGAAAACAAACCATGGTTTCACAAAGGTGCTTTTTTTTCAAGAAGCAACTGGACTTTCTGGTTTTTCTTTGAAGACTTTTCTCTTCTCATCCAAGAAGCTTCTTCAGCTCTGACTGGACAGTGGGAATGGACGGATTTAGATTCCTTGCAGACCGCTGGTCATTTGCATCCTTCTAGAAAGCTGTTGAGGCCACTTGGAGGTTTTTCTGTGTCCTGAGTGGTTCAAATTGGTGTGTAGCCTGAGGCGCACCTGTGCAGCGCTAAAAAAGGAACATTTTGAAGCCTTCCGAGTCTGCAAAAGTAAGTAGAACAGCGAGGGGGGGGAATCCGCTGTGCCACGCGATTTAGATTAGCTAGAAAGCAGGAAATCATGCCCCTGTCGGAGTCTGAATCCGAAGGGGAAGAGGAACAGCTGACAGAGAGCCTAGAGCAGGGATCAGCAACCTGTGGTTCTGGAGCCGCATGTGGCTCTTTCATCCCTCTGCTGTGGCTCCCTGTCACTCAAAATATCACTCACAGCTGCCAATGTGCGACACCCGCAGGAACGCGATTTATTGAGCTTTTCAACCCCTGGTAGGCCAACCATGGATAAATCCAAGAAAAGGAAAGCTTCAGAAGAAAACAGAACGTTTAATTCGACTACATATGCTAGTTTTGTGGCCGCTCAAGAAATAGTCAGGCAAGGGAAGGGTTTTGTGGCTCCCGGGTGTTTTCTTTTCTGTGGGAAACGGGTCCAAATGGCTCTTTGAGTGTTTAAGGTTGCAGAGCCCTGGCCTAGAGAGTGCATCCATTGGCTGTGGAAGAAACTGGGGAAGTGCAAAGTCAGGCTGGGCAGAGCAGGGGAGAGGTAGAACAAGGGAGAGCGGGTTCAGATGAAGATCAAGGCCCACCCTCTCCTCATCCTAGGGCATGCAGGGAAGAACGGAGAAGAGAGCAACATGGGTTGCGTGGCTTATGAGGGAAAAAAGGGCCCCGGTTTCCTTCACAAGGCACACCTGGGGATGGAGTTTAAAGGAGAGGCAAATGGGAGGGGCGGTTGTCGGGAACAAACGCTGAGTTCATCTGGTGCTTATCTGAATTCCTGGCATCCTCCCAACCGGTTTGATTTACTGCCGTGCTACTTCACTTCTGGAATTCCTTATTTTGCTTGCCCTGCCGGATTCATTACCTTGTCTTGCCTTGTTGGATTTTTAGTTGAAAGTTTTCTGCTTACAACGTTTGGGACTGAAGTATTGTCAGCCAAAGACTATGTGACATGTTGGTGGAAGAGCTCTCTCCAGGCCAGAGAGTTGAAAGGGACATTGGGGGCACAGTTGGAGATTGTTGTGACTCCGACCCCCGAGCCCATCTTATCGGAGGGAGAAGACTCCGAAAGTGAAGAAGAGGAGTTGGCAAGGCCTCCCTCTCCAGGACCCTCCTCTCTGGCAATGCCTCAGGTGTCTTCCGAAGGCCAAGAGATAGGCCAGGAGCCAGGCACTTCCGAGCAGCCGCAGTTAGACAGCGACGGAGATAAGTCTTGGCTGGATCCCCGACAGCGTCGGAAAGACAAGCACGCGTAGCAGAGAAGGAGGCATGCCAGAGATTAAACTGAGTCACTGGACCACACCCCACAGGGGATAAAAGGGGGTGTGGTGGCCATTCAGGCTTTGTGATGGACAAAACTGAAAGCTAGCAAGTCATTCTGCATTTCTGGAACTTTGTTATATGTTCTGCTTGGACTGATTTTTGGACTAAACTTGACTATTCTTTGGCTTTTGTGGACTTACTTTAATGTTTCGGTCGGAGGAGATAAACCTCCCTCTGTAAGTAAAGACTGTTGGCAAGCAGTCACTGGGTTGCTGCCAATTCTGTTATCAAAGGAAATTCTTGTCTGCTGGTTTATTTTAACTCTTGGTTGACTGCTGGTGTGCGTGTGTGAGACGGGGACAGAACAGAGATCATAAAGCGACTCATATCGGTTCTCTGGCTCTCCGAACCACCCGCCTCCATCGCTACCGGATCAGGCGATCCGGTCCAAACCGGGAGCATTTCACCCCTGCTTTAACTCCTCTTTCAAACTGTGCTGCCTTTAAAAGAGTGGCTTTTGTCTTTTTAATGCAGATGGACAAAGGAGAGGAGGGGAAGGGAAAGGCCAAAAGGAAGGGAAGGAGGGAAAGTGGAGGGGAGAGGACAGAACAGGCAATACTATTTTGAAAACCCGATGGGGTAGGCTAAGCCAGCATCCGTGTGCCGTGAAAGACACTGGGCCCACACAGAGCAAACACAGCAACCCTAACAGGTTGTGTGAATCACTACCACTGTCCCAACCCAAGATCACCCAGCAGGATTCACTTACCGCAACGGGATGGGTCATAAGAAAGAACGTGTATCCATACTGCAAAACCCCCAAACTGGACCCCATTACTGAGAGAACGAGTGGACGGGTCAGTTTCTATGCAGGAGGAGGAAAACAACACAATTCCTTCAGTGGATAAGGACAAAAAACAACACAACACAACGCATCTAAGACCTCCCCTCTCCTTTCCCCCTCTCTGTTTCTAGCTTGGATGGGAAGAAGGTTGATCTTCTGCATGTGCTTTACTGATAGGGGAAACAATGATTTTCCCCTTTGGACTCCATGCATCTCCTGGTGGTGTCCCATCCACAAACAAGCCAGCTGAGCTTTAGGAGATTTCAAAGATTGTCTAGGCATTGCCATTTTCTTTTCTTCCTTTTTTTTTTTAATACAGTTGAGAGCTGATCCTCTTCAGAAATCCTTCATAATTTCTCTGCCCTGCCTTGCCCTAAAGCTTAGAAATAACCACTGATCGAGATAACCCGCAACTCAAGCAGCCCTCCAAACTCACATTATTTTGGGTTGTGGGTTCTGATTCCTCTTTGTCCTCCATCCTTCCGGGGAGATCAAGAGAAAACCCCCGAGAAAACTATAACCCAATTGAAAAGAGGAAAGGCATTTACTGAGAAACCAATATTACACTAACAAAGTGAGGTCGGATAGACGTAATTGATCTACAAAGAGATACAAGTCGTTCTGTCTCCCTCGGAATATAATGTACTTGCAGGTTTGTTTGTTATTTGTTATGTTGTCTTGTATGTTATTTATATGGTGCGTTGTTATTTTTTTGTTTTTTTTAATGGAAAATGTAAATAAAGATTTTTTTTTTTTTTAAAGAGAAAAACCCCTAATCGGGGTAAAAACGGGGGGATGGGGGAAAAAGGCAAAAAAAAGCAGTGGTGAAATGTAAAATTTGTTACTACCGGTTCTGTGGGCGTGGCTTGGTGGGGGGTAATGTGACTGGGTGGGCGTGGCCAACTTTTTTTTTTCCCTTTTAAAAGCCTCTGATGATTGTGCGGCTCAGCTGGGCATGGTGGTGGGGGGGGGCAGGGATTTTTGCTACCAGTTCTCCAAACCACCCGTCGCCATCACTACCGGATCGGGCGATCCGGTCTGAACCGGGAGCATTGCACGACTGAAAAAAAAGTCTTCCACCCTATTTACAAAACATTATCTCCCCAGATAGACTGCGGCGGATCAGGGAGGCTCCACAGAGCCCCTCGCCAATGATGGGCAGCTTTTCTCAAAGAGGCAATTAAAGGGGGCAAGCTTAGATTTTCCCCATCTTTTCTTTTGAACGTTGGCTTGAGAGCTTCCTGTTCAATTCCTAATTGTTATAATAAATCCCCCCAAATTGCTTGGCACCTTCCCTGACCCTCCACTGCTCCTCTGGAGGAGGCCAGTCTTCCAGATTTTGGATTTTAAGGTTAGAAATGTTTTTTTTTTTAAAGCCAGCTTACTATTTTTGGGGGTGTCTCGGAGTAAAAAGTGAAAAACCACAGCTGTCTTTTCTATCGAACGAAAAATGCTGGAGCAGCAGAGAGAACCAATCAGGGAAAGGAGGCGGGAACATTCCGGGAAAAGTGAAATGGCAGTTAGGTGGCTGTTTTGCATAAATTTACATCCAGGGGGTTCCGGTTTCAGATTACTGCCCATAATTTTCCCAGCGTTTTTGATACAGAAAGTTTTTCCAACTTTCCTCTGTATCTCAGCACCCGGTGATCTCCTGCTGGTCTTCCATCCCAATTCAAAAGCCAAATTATTCTTCCCAGTCCGCCAAGATCAGTTTTTCATTACTGACTTAATTGAAACGGCCCGTTTTCCCATGAAATTGGTGAATGAATTGATTGAATACTTTATTTGGCCAAATGTGTTTAGAGACAAGGAATTTGTCTCAGGGGCAGAAGTTCTGAATGGGAGTCCAAATCAAGAAATCACAAGTGACCAGACAAAAAATGGTTACTTAAATACAAGAAGGTTGTGAAAACGATTTTAAAAACCTAGCAAACAACCGAAAACGAAAAACTCGTGAAAAACTCTCTCACCTACAGAAAAAAAACAACGAACAAAGATTCAAAGCTCATTTATTCATTATTTTTTTTTAAAAAAAACACACTTTTGTTCAAAGCCCCTTCAACGAGGCGGATGGAAAATTAAATTTTGATCTGTACATTTAAGAGTTTTGTTGCACCAACACACAGAGAGAAGTGAGGTATACAGAACCAGAAAAATCAGCCTGGCCTCCCCCCAAAAAAAAAGTTTAAAAAAATTGCAGCACTTATTCGAAGGCCAATAAAGCGGCATCCCCACAAAATTGTGGGTGTCCACTGGAACCAGACATGTGTGAGTCCAATTGCTTTCATGGGTGGGTTACGATAAAATCAAAATGAACCGATATGCAGCCTGTAAAAGTCCTCCCGGGTGCAAAGACTGTACCACCCACAAGTATCCATCTCGGATGCATCGTTTCAAGAAGAAAATTGCAGGCAATTGCTCGTAGTGTTGCCAGGTGTCCACTATTTGAACGGACAGTCCGCTTTTTTCACATTATGTTCACTATTTTTTTGTCACAAAATAGTAGACATTTTTTTTATTCAAAAGCTTTATGATGAAATTAAAATGTAATTTAATATTTTACATATTATTATATTTGATGTTTTGAATTTTAAATAAAGTTTTGAAGTGATTATTTTAATACGTGTTAAAATGTTTGTAAGAAAATATATAATTTAAGTGGAATTTTTTTTTTCATTTTTTTACTACTTAACCCCCACCCACCCCTCCCCCACCCAGCTTCTCCGCTATTTTTTGGACGCAGACCTGGCAACCCTAACAAGATTGAGGGAGAAATTCCATGTCTAAAAATGGTGTTGCTTCCACTTTTTAAAAATCGAGCCTTTTTGGTGCCTGGGGAAGAAAACGCGTGACTTAATGGTCAAGAAAAATGCTGCCCAGGAACCAAAATGTTTTTTGAAGCCAATTTTTTTTTTTGAAACCAAATGCAAAAACGGACACCAGGATGAGTTTCGGGATGAAATTCCATGTCTAAAAATGGTGTTGCTTCCACTTTTTAAAAATCGAGCCTTTTTGGTGCCTGGGGAAGAAAACGCGTGACTTAATGGTCAGGAAAAATGCTGCCCAGGAACCAAAATGTTTTTTGAAGCCAAATTTTTTTTTTGAAACCAAATGCAAAAACGGACACCAGGATGAGTTTCGGGATGAAATTCCATGTCTAAAAATGGTGTTGCTTCCACTTTTTAAAAATCGAGCCTTTTTGGTGCCTGGGGAAGAAAACGCGTGACTTAATGGTCAGGAAAAATGCTGCCCAGGAACCAAAATGTTTTTTGAAGCCAAATTTTTTTTTTGAAACCAAATGCAAAAACGGACACCAGGATGAGTTTCGGGATGAAATTCCATGTCTAAAAATGGTGTTGCTTCCACTTTTTAAAAATCGAGCCTTTTTGGTGCCTGGGGAAGAAAACGCGTGACTTAATGGTCAGGAAAAATGCTGCCCAGGAACCAAAATGTTTTTTGAAGCCAAATTTTTTTTTGAAACCAAATGCAAAAACGGACACCAGGATGAGTTTCGGGATGAAATTCCATGTCTAAAAATGGTGTTGCTTCCACTTTTTAAAAATCGAGCCTTTTTGGTGCCTGGGGAAGAAAACGCGTGACTTAATGGTCAGGAAAAATGCTGCCCAGGAACCAAAATGTTTTTTGAAGCCAATTTTTTTTTTGAAACCAAATGCAAAAACGGACACCAGGATGAGTTTCGGGATGAAATTCCATGTCTAAAAATGGTGTTGCTTCCACTTTTTAAAAATCGAGCCTTTTTGGTGCCTGGGGAAGAAAACGCGTGACTTAATGGTCAGGAAAAATGCTGCCCAGGAACCAAAATGTTTTTTGAAGCCAATTTTTTTTTTGAAACCAAATGCAAAAACGGACACCAGGATGAGTTTCGGGATGAAATTCCATGTCTAAAAATGGTGTTGCTTCCACTTTTTAAAAATCGAGCCTTTTTGGTGCCTGGGGAAGAAAACGCGTGACTTAATGGTCAGGAAAAATGCTGCCCAGGAACCAAAATGTTTTTTGAAGCCAATTTTTTTTTTTGTAACCAAATGCAAAAACGGACACCAGGATGAGTTTCGGGATGAAATTCCATGTCTAAAAATGGTGTTGCTTCCACTTTTTAAAAATCGAGCCTTTTTGGTGCCTGGGGAAGAAAACGCGTGACTTAATGGTCAGGAAAAATGCTGCCCAGGAACCAAAATGTTTTTTGAAGCCAATTTTTTTTTTTGAAACCAAATGCAAAAACGGACACCAGGATGAGTTTCGGGATGAAATTCCATGTCTAAAAATGGTGTTGCTTCCACTTTTTAAAAATCGAGCCTTTTTGGTGCCTGGGGAAGAAAACGCGTGACTTAATGGTCAGGAAAAATGCTGCCCAGGAACCAAAATGTTTTTTGAAGCCAATTTTTTTTTTTGAAACCAAATGCAAAAACGGACACCAGGATGAGTTTCGGGATGAAATTCCATGTCTAAAAATGGTGTTGCTTCCACTTTTTAAAAATCGAGCCTTTTTGGTGCCTGGGGAAGAAAACGCGTGACTTAATGGTCAGGAAAAATGCTGCCCAGGAACCAAAATGTTTTTTGAAGCCAATTTTTTTTTTGAAACCAAATGCAAAAACGGACACCAGGATGAGTTTCGGGATGAAATTCCATGTCTAAAAATGGTGTTGCTTCCACTTTTTAAAAATCGAGCCTTTTTGGTGCCTGGGGAAGAAAACGCGTGACTTAATGGTCAGGAAAAATGCTGCCCAGGAACCAAAATGTTTTTTGAAGCCAAATTTTTTTTTTGAAACCAAATGCAAAAACGGACACCAGGATGAGTTTCGGGATGAAATTCCATGTCTAAAAATGGTGTTGCTTCCACTTTTTAAAAATCGAGCCTTTTTGGTGCCTGGGGAAGAAAACGCGTGACTTAATGGTCAGGAAAAATGCTGCCCAGGAACCAAAATGTTTTTTGAAGCCAAATTTTTTTTTTTGAAACCAAATGCAAAAACGGACACCAGGATGAGTTTCGGGATGAAATTCCATGTCTAAAAATGGTGTTGCTTCCACTTTTTAAAAATCGAGCCTTTTTGGTGCCTGGGGAAGAAAACGCGTGACTTAATGGTCAGGAAAAATGCTGCCCAGGAACCAAAATGTTTTTTGAAGCCAATTTTTTTTTTGAAACCAAATGCAAAAACGGACACCAGGATGAGTTTCGGGATGAAATTCCATGTCTAAAAATGGTGTTGCTTCCACTTTTTAAAAATCGAGCCTTTTTGGTGCCTGGGGAAGAAAACGCGTGACTTAATGGTCAGGAAAAATGCTGCCCAGGAACCAAAATGTTTTTTGAAGCCAATTTTTTTTTTTGAAACCAAATGCAAAAACGGACACCAGGATGAGTTTCGGGATGAAATTCCATGTCTAAAAATGGTGTTGCTTCCACTTTTTAAAAATCGAGCCTTTTTGGTGCCTGGGGAAGAAAACGCGTGACTTAATGGTCAAGAAAAATGCTGCCCAGGAACCAAAATGTTTTTTGAAGCCAATTTTTTTTTTGAAACCAAATGCAAAAACGGACACCAGGATGAGTTTCGGGATGAAATTCCATGTCTAAAAATGGTGTTGCTTCCACTTTTTAAAAATCGAGCCTTTTTGGTGCCTGGGGAAGAAAACGCGTGACTTAATGGTCAGGAAAAATGCTGCCCAGGAACCAAAATGTTTTTTGAAGCCAATTTTTTTTTTTGAAACCAAATGCAAAAACGGACACCAGGATGAGTTTCGGGATGAAATTCCATGTCTAAAAATGGTGTTGCTTCCACTTTTTAAAAATCGAGCCTTTTTGGTGCCTGGGGAAGAAAACGCGTGACTTAATGGTCAGGAAAAATGCTGCCCAGGAACCAAAATGTTTTTTGAAGCCAATTTTTTTTTTGAAACCAAATGCAAAAACGGACACCAGGATGAGTTTCGGGATGAAATTCCATGTCTAAAAATGGTGTTGCTTCCACTTTTTAAAAATCGAGCCTTTTTGGTGCCTGGGGAAGAAAACGCGTGACTTAATGGTCAGGAAAAATGCTGCCCAGGAACCAAAATGTTTTTTGAAGCCAATTTTTTTTTTTGAAACCAAATGCAAAAACGGACACCAGGATGAGTTTCGGGATGAAATTCCATGTCTAAAAATGGTGTTGCTTCCACTTTTTAAAAATCGAGCCTTTTTGGTGCCTGGGGAAGAAAACGCGTGACTTAATGGTCAGGAAAAATGCTGCCCAGGAACCAAAATGTTTTTTGAAGCCAATTTTTTTTTTTGAAACCAAATGCAAAAACGGACACCAGGATGAGTTTCGGGATGAAATTCCATGTCTAAAAATGGTGTTGCTTCCACTTTTTAAAAATCGAGCCTTTTTGGTGCCTGGGGAAGAAAACGCGTGACTTAATGGTCAGGAAAAATGCTGCCCAGGAACCAAAATGTTTTTTGAAGCCAATTTTTTTTTTTGAAACCAAATGCAAAAACGGACACCAGGATGAGTTTCGGGATGAAATTCCATGTCTAAAAATGGTGTTGCTTCCACTTTTTAAAAATCGAGCCTTTTTGGTGCCTGGGGAAGAAAACGCGTGA